TCATTTCAGTACTTCAAGAAATTTTGGTCATAAAATTGTTATCATACTCTTCCTTTTTCTAAGTTTTTTTGTTTAATTACATTTGTAAAACCATTAACACGATTTCCTTGTTTTTATTCACTTCGATGCTGTACAAATGTAGATCTTTATTTTTCAATATATATATATATATACTATAAATTCGTTATATGTCATTGGTCGAGTCTTAATTTGTTTTCGTTGTCTATTCGCTCTATTAAACAATTTTCTTTTTCAATTTCCACAATATACAATGTTTTTCTAAATAGAAAATTTGATCATCATTATCAATTGAACTTGATTCATTATTTCATAGCACACTTAGCAAATAACAACTATTTTTATATTCTATAAACAATCTTTCAATAATTGAAAATTTTTTCCACTAATCAATTTCTAACTTCTTAATTATATCAAATCAATATATATAGCACATAAATGCGTAGGCCAACATATAGATGGTAGCATTCTAACTGAAATGACGTTCAATCTTAAATCAAGAAGTAAATTGATGTTAAAGCTCGAATTAGTCTATAGATCAATGTCAGATTCGGATATTAATTGAATAACTGAGAGGAGACAATGAAATTTCAATTAATACAATCGACAACAGACGAACTAAGTGAAGATTCGACGGATTACAAATAGTTTTCTATTGAAGCAATTCTTGTGTATAAAGCTGTTCATAAATTCATAAGCTGCAACTTAATTAATCAATTGATGATTATATTAATTGAAACTTTATTATTTCCTCTAGTTTATTCCTAATTTGACTCCATTCGATGATGTCTCAATTCAGGCTTAATATCATCAATGACAATTATTCATGACTATTTAATATACAGGGTGTCCCAAAAGTTATGATCATTTAATAAATACAAAAGATTTCACTACTGATCAAACTTGATCAAAATTTCTTTTTTTTTGCATTTAAAATAGATCACTAGTCAGCTTCGATTTCTAAAGCTCAAATTCATTAATAATCTAGAAAAGGTAATAGATTTAGCTACAATTAATCCCTTGGCGCTTGGCGACATATACATACATCCTACTGTTTGACTTAGAATATCGGCGATACACAAATTTGCATCGATGATGTTATTGAACAAACATGTCACTAGCTTATTCTGTTAGATCACAGACTAGGGTCATGAAGTCATTCTAGGAATCTATAGTCGCTATTATCATCATACATTCTCTGTCGTCGTTCCACATATGGATAGTATGAGTCACCAAATACAGATCACAGAGACAAACTACTATTGGAAGACCGTAGAAAAGGAGTTTTCTCTTTGTCTAACTGCTCGACGTTTTCTTTTGCTCGTTCCACAAATATCGCAATCAAAACAGTCTCAAAGAAATGCATTGTTTGCATATTTCATAGTTTTCTACATGATACAAAATATGTGTGTTAACAGTAATATACCTCTATGTATTATTGATTGTCCTGAATACTATCATACGAAAATGAACTACTAATGTTTCCTTGATACAGAAATACAATATCTTTGAAAAACTAAAGAAACATCATATTAAAAGATTTTTAATAAAAATCGGGATTTTTGCTAAAAAAAAGCCGAGCGTGAAAAGGTTAAAAAATTAAAGTTTTTTAGTGCAACCTACGATATACATTGCTTTTTTATCATTTGTTTGACATATTTTAAAATGATCGAATAATGAATGTATTTCTTCGTAGAAAATCGTTTTTGAGTCTTCGAAAACTTTAACAACAATGAAAACGAACTTCTTACATCATTGTATAATTTATTTTGACATTACAGTTGTCTCTATTACTTTCCTTTTATAAGAATATATCAAGCTAAATATTTTTAAAAAATTAAAATCATCTGAAGTCAATATTAACCATGGAAATTCAAATAGATAGCGAAAAAATACCGAGTACATATTGTTGGTGACATCAAAAGAGTCTAATTTCTAAATTGTAGCCAAAAATGATACGTTTTCTATATTGATGATGAACTTCGCTTTTACGAATCAAAACTTACTCGTCGTCTATTTCTGAATAAGAAAATAGTTTTTGTTTAAATTTCACTAGTGAAGTTATCTGTATCTATTAGGTGTTCATAACTTTTGGGACAACCTGTAAGAGACAATTCCTTATATTAATAAAGAAAAACAAGAAAAATACCAAAGTTATAAACAATAACAACCAATAGGCATTATATATAATTATATAATGAAAAGAGTTAAGTTGTTGGTATTTACTTCTTAACAAATTTCGTTTTTGTTCGGTTTCGTCACATTGAATTGCTGTTTGTAACCTTAATCATTAAGTACAAGCGCATTGTGATATGTAACCGTGAATTGTATGTTACTTGTTTTTGGCTTTTCGTATTTAATATACATATGTTAACATTGATCACTGACAACACCATTTGGTTGAAGCCGACTCATTGTATGGGTGACGTTATGTAATGAATCATGACAGAGCTGGAAAGGGACAAAATGGGATGGATAGAATCGAAGACTGCCTTTAGGAAGCTGTAGATACACGTGTTTGCAGATCTAGGTCCGGACCCGACAAAAATAAAACTGGATCTAGACTTTCTTGGATTCCGTAACCAGTTATTTTTACACCAGTATCTGTCACACTCTGTGTACGTAAACAAGTGAAGGATCAAGGTTTTAGTTATTCATTCGCTACACTCAGAAAAAAGTCAACGTACAGTTATTTCTTGTTGCTCACTGTCTCAGCTAGGGAGATGCGAGTGTATGAAAACGTCAAAATAGAGCCCAAAAACAAAATACTGTTTTTAACTTAGAGTGAAGTTTGGAAGGATCTACTACTCACGACTGCTGTAACCTCTTATTAGATGTATTCGAATTCAGGTTTTAACATCAATTACTACCCAATCCGATATTAGACGTCATCTCAGCTTGGGCACTAACCTATGTTTGAAGATCAATCGTATAAGAATAAAAGATTTTCTATTTTACATACGAAAATACATGTGATCTTTGACACTATATTTATTTTATTATAAAACCATACAGACACAAAATAAAACTTTTTTACGATAAACAAAATTGAATAGGACCTTGTTGTTGTTGTTGTTGAATTAATTTCTTTGTTATAATTCTTCCATTAGCAAGTTTTTTTGCATGACGATATATTTTTAATTCTTGTGTATACTGTTGTTCATACATTGATATATAAGATTTTGGTTCACAATGTTGTTTACAAAATGAATGTTTATAAAAATCTGCATAACCACCATCAAGTAAATAAATTGATGGAAATGATAAATAAGGATAATTTGATATATTATATTGACGATCTAATGAACGAAATAAACGACAAAGACGTGGTCCACGTTCAGATGAAAACTCACAATGAAAAACAATTATTGTTGGACGACATGATGATGATACTAATTTAGTAAATAATAATCGTAAATCATTTTCAGTATATATATTAACAGCCGAAGTAATATGACCACCAGAATATTCAAATGGATAACGAGCATCAATAATTAAAATATTATTTGTTTGTTTATTCAAAACAGATGCAAGCTAAAAATTACATCAAACATTTTATATCAAAAAATGATGAATATTTATGCACTTCTACCGTTTGTGATGATATACGTTTAAGATCAGGATGAGATGAACGTTTGACTAATGGTAATGATAATTGTTCATCGAAAAGAATTTGAAGATTTTTAACAACAGATGACTTTGTTGATTCTATTCTAGATTTTGAACGAATAAGTGGTGATGAAAATAATGGTGATAGCATATCAAGATGATGAGACATTACAGCAAGCTTTAAAGAAAAAAAGGAAATAAACTGAAATAATATTTAATGTTTTCAAATTGTTATTTTATTCTAACTGAACACAAGATCATTTTAATCATCCACATGATATACTAATATAAACTCCATCATCAAACAATACAAGATGATTTTTCAATTAGTCGATTGATTAATTGTCATATTTTTTTTTTTCTTGACTTCTTAATTGGTTAAGCTACACATGTATAAAAAAATAGAATTGATCGTATTGAATACATACATTACAAAAACAAAGCAATTAGAAGTATATTGACATCGTCAATGGAAAAGCAGCTCAATTTCTTATCTAACTTCAGCTGTGTGAACGATTTGTTTCCACAGATTTATTGTTTCACGATTACATAAAAATTTTATTTCAATTAATGTTTTTCTTGTATCAAAAATTTACTTATGGGGTTGAGGGTGTGAGTGTAGTTCTTCTCGTTGTGCAAAACGCTGGAAAAATTAAGTCATAACAGATGCGTGTTTAATACAATTATGATAACGTTGTAATTAAAGTCGTGTTTATATTTCAACGTTTTTGAAAGCTGCTAGATGCAGATATTTTTCAATGTCTATCAAAAAGTTTAACATTCATCTCTTAACTTTTTGTTTAGATATTGATTTTTTTTTTGTTCTAATAATATATTGATAGTCTCAATGACTGCTCATTTCTCTTCCAAACACTTAACGAATAATAAATCGTGTAAATTTCACTGTAGCTTACTGTTTTACTTTACAATGATATCTTCTCTTAAAACAGTGAAACAAAATCAACACGTAATGAAATTAATCAATAAGAAAACAATATGTTCCCTTTAGATTTATACTATTATATGACAACTACTTAATTTGGGATTAATGGCGTGCGAACTGTTTTAATACTGAAAATTTTCTCTCCATTTGAAAACATAAATCATATTCTTACCGCCATCATTGTTGTTGAATGATATTTGTTTATTGATGTAGAAGTGCCTTTTTATAGTGACAAGTGATACAGATTGTCTCTGATAATCAATCAGTAATTATGATATGCACAGGTGGATATTTTGTTTTCTTTTATTGTCAACTATCAATATAACAATTTACAATGAATAGAATAAAAAAAGAGTGCACCAGGAGGAAAACAAACGAATACCATGACAAATACGTATACTAGGGTAGGATAAAATTTATGTCAGTTGTTTTAATGAAATATTGGATCATGTGGATCGGAATATGTATGAGAAAAAAGTACATATTCATAATCAATTAATTGACGAAGAAAGCCGACATTAGGACTAACAATTGGTCGTCGATGTCTTAAAAATTTGAATGCTTCAAGAACTGTTGCATTATATGTTTTCATTAAATAAGCAAGAATTATTGTCGTTGATCTTGATATACCTAAGTTACAATGAACAAGTATACGACTTGATGGATTTTGAAATGCTGTTTCCATAAAACGTATTGTTTGATCAAAACGATCTTTAAGTAAAACATCTTCCATATCTTCTAATTCTAAATGTAAATATTTTATTTTATCAGTAAATACACATTGATGCTCAACAGATATATTTATAATATGCGTTATTTTAAGATCACGTACAACTTTCCAATTTGTTGCTTGATGACCGGTACCTATTACAAATGAGAAACAAAAAAATGATTTTTTTGAAATTTTATTTTTATATTTACCAAGATAAAGTTGATTGTCAAGAACAACAGATGGATAAATGGTAAGAAATTTTTCACGGTCAACTATCGAACGTACATCAGATTGGATACAAGTGAAAGGAAAATATGTACGAAATGCTTCAAAACCACCGCTTAATGTTAAACAGGCTTTAGCACCTGGCGTTGAAAAACGATTAGAAACACGACGCATTTCTGTTGATGTATTGAAAAAAATTCCTTTTTCATCATATAAAACAATTTCACTAAATCGTTCAACGATGGATATGTAAACAGCACCACTTAATGCATCTTCCCAATGAATGGCTAGAATAAGAAATTCAAAGTCATTTAATCAAATGAACTAAACTTGAATAAACAATAGTAATCCAGATCAATGATTCTGCTATCTGGATCTTTGGATTTTCGGTCGGTTAACTCTGAAGTATGGTAGGAACTTGCACATAGGAATCTGACGATCGGATTCGATGACCCAAGTTTTATAATTCAAATCGAATCTGATCATAGTCGTGCAAAGTCTGTCATCAAATTTCTACGTTCAAGTTTCTACAATTTTTGCGCCCAGAAATGATCGTAAATCATTCATGTAGGAGAGTGAAACAATTATAAATTTCTTTTGCAGTATAGAAAAGATTCGAATTGTTACAATTTTAATTTGAGTTCTAAAACAGAACTAGAATTATTTCGCCAAAAGTTGTTGAATCTAAATAAACCGGAGACTATAGATTTTGTAGAATCGAATCGATTGCAGCTATCACTTAGAAAGACATAGCGAGTAAAAACGTTATTATTTTCAACTTGACTTTTGTGTCTTAAAAATAGATAGGTGCATTATTTCTCTATGATTTTTCATTTGAGGAGACAAATGAAGACATGTTAGTAATAAATAAATAAATTTCAAATTGGTGAACAAAAACTTTGTGACATATTACGTGACGTAGTATATGACGATAGTAAGTCTTCATCTTGTATTACTGCAGAAGCCATATACTAGTTGTCTACAAATCAACAACTGAATAGAAATGTATAATCGTGACTATCACTTGCCGAGTTACATTATCAGAGTCTAAGAAGCGAACGGTATTCTGCACGAGATGTTCAAATTCTCATGTTTTTACATCAATAGTTCTCTTCAATTTATAGTTTAAAATACAATTTGTTTCGTCAAAAATATCTAATTTTTAAATAACTAGACAATTGAGAATTGAGAAGTTATGATTTTCAGCTAAAAATACTTTTTATTTAACTTAATGAAGTCTATTAAGTATGTGATATTTAATTTATTCAAATGAAAAAGAAAACCAATCATTATTTTGTTTTTTTCTTACTCAATTTATTGTCATAATGAATAAGGACGGAATAAATATGAATTTCTATCCTTTTTTTTTTATATAATATTGTCGACGTCAATCATCGATAAGAAAATGTGTAGCGTCAAAAGTCATCTCAAGGGAGAAAGCGATAAAGACACTTATTGCTTCAAATAACGTTCGTCAAATAAAAACTGTCAGATGACGAGGAAGAAGAAGAAAAAAGAAAATAAGCAAGTCAATGCAACTTCTACAGGAAAGGCTGCTTCTTTAATAGTTATTGACGTAATGCACTTGTTTAGTTTAATTAGGTCAAGTTGATATTTCTTTTAGGTTAAAAATACTAAGAAGAAGTTACCTGTAATAATATGATTTTCGTTAAATTTTTCTTTGGTTCGACAATCAATAATATATAAATAATGTGCTAGCATAAATAAATATTGATTATCTAAACCATAACCCATCATATTAAATAATTTTGATGGTGTCACATAACCTGGTTGACAAGATGTTGTTGGTAACGTACACTTAGGTTTCGGTGATATTGGTGATTGTGATCGATTATAATTATGATGATTTACAGCTTTATCACTACCAGATCCACCGATATTTACTTGTTGTTGTTTAAGACCATTCGATGTAGACATAGCTGCTTGAACATCCGTATTTGAACGTCCTCTCATTGGTGGAAGTAAATCATGGTTTACTGGACGACGAGATGCTGCAGAGGCAGATGTTATGGTTTTTTGCACTGATCCACTATTTTTTCTTGGCGAATCTAATGTTTTTTTTGTAGAAATTTTTTCTTCCGTTGAATTGTTTTCTTCATATTGTGTTGGAAGATTAGACGAAAGAATGTACGATTTTTGTGGACTAGTTGGTAATGATACTACATTACGTTCAATAGCTCGAACTACAGGCATTGTTGTTGTATTTGCTGTAGAAATTGATGAATTTTTACTTAGTAGGTCACTTTATCAAAATGAAAAAAAAAAGAGAAAGGTACGAATAAGAAAGAAAAAAAATATATTAAAAGAATGTTTCTGTTAGAAAGAGAAAGAGAATTGTGAAGTTTCATATTGAAATTGAGCAGAATAACAAAAGCTTTTCTTCTTTCCTGAAATATCTCGAAAATTATTAAAACGCAATTTGTCGATTAAAATAAAATGCCTCGTCAATATATTCATAAGACCTAATTGACCTTTGATGGCAACTAATAGATCTCAAAGAAACATTAAGATAAATATCTGTTAAGAATAATAGAATAAATGTTATTCTATTTACCAATTCTTACGTCGACGAATATAATCAGATGATGAAGATTCTGATGACACAATTTAAATAGCTGTTTTCTTTTCTTGTTTGTATTTCGTACTGTGAAATGAAAACTAAAATATTACATAAAACAACTTTTTTCTTGCACACCCTTTTTGTTTTTATAATATCGCGAAACATAAAAAAACGCATTAGCTATGTCAATTCTCTTTTTTTAAAAATTTTTTTTACCAATTGTAAATCAGGGATGAAACGTAAACAGCAACAAAATTTGTATGAACTCTCAACGACGTAAAAAGAAAGACGTCCAAACACACCTACCAACAGCATGATGCAAACAAAGCAATATGAAACATGATTCATAAACAATAATATTATAGTTCAAACTACACTCTTTACTTCTAAGTAGAACCAAATAAATCATTAGTTTTCTATTTGTTTTAAATATCTTTTTATAGAATCTGTCATAATATTTTTTAAGCTCTTGAATTGAATGAAACTTTATATGGTTCTGAATATAGTAACGGACGTAGAAAGATGCAATTGTTAATTTTTCATTCTACTATACACATTTTATTTTTCATCGAAGAAAACAAAAGTTCCCAAGAATCATATTTCAGTCAGATATGAATACTTTTTAACTCTTATCGAATGCCTATTGTGATTGAATTGTATTAGATTATGGGTTATATTATAATGTTTTTAATTTTTTTTTTTGAAATAAGACAAAAAAGAAAAAAGAACATACACCAATTTGTGTGCACAATGAGAAAAGACAAACGTCATCACGTTAAATTCTGATCAAATATAAAAAAGAAATTTCTTCATTATTCGTTTTGTTTTTTCTTTTTCTTAAGCAGACATAGGTGTGTATGTGTGTACGTATGTGAAAGAAAGAAGGCAGATAGGAGAGAAGTGTGCGTGTAGTGTACAATCGTCGACATATTGCGTATTTATTGTGAGCAACAATAAAAATTTCAAAAGAAAGGAATCAATAACTGCGTTGGCATTAGCTACCCATTGAGTGCACACAAAATGAGTAGAAGAAAAAAAAAAAACTAAGAATCAATGAGAGGCACTTGTATATTGTCTTTTTTTTTGTATTTTTATGTTGAGTACATTTATCGAGGATGATAACGACCAATCGCTTTAAGATTTTCAACAAACATAGCACGTGCTATTTCAGGTCGACGATCTTCACCAGCTACCATTGCGGCTACCTTAATTATTAATTGAATTATAAAGAAAAAGAAAAGAAAAAGAAAAATATTTTTTTCTTACAGCATCTGAATAAACAAAAATACAGCCAATTTTATTAAGTTCTGTTCGTTTAACTTCAATTGTATGTTCATTTACACCTCGGCATGCATCTTCAATTAATACAGTTCGATAATTATTTTCAATAGCATGCGTTGCTGTTGAAGCTAAGATAAAAATTTTAAATAATCACAAACAAATGTCTTTTTTTTTTACTAAACAAACGAAAACATACCAACACAAACATCTGTAGCCATACCAACAACATAAACATCAGTTACAAAACGTTCTTTAAGTTGATCATCAAGACTTGTTTTACTTAATTTCATATTATCCCAAAATGCTGAGTAAGAATCTATTTCAGAATTTATTCCTTTATAGACATGTACAGCATTGTTAACCCGGACTAAATCTGGATGCAAAGCGGCACCATATGAATTTTGAATACAATGTGCTGGCCAAAGAACTTGTTCTATTGTATCAGTTAATTTAGAAGATCCAACAAAGACTACTTTATCATGTACACGTGCTGCATTGGCACTAATCTGAATAAAAAGAAAAGAAAAAAATAATAACAAAAATAATTTTGATTTACAAAGTATTTTCCTTTTTAACATACACGACTTTTAGGTGATATTTTTCTCAAAAAACGATTTTCATAAAATGATACATGATTTGATGGATGCCAATCATATGTATATGCAACAACATCAAAATTAACATTATGAATAACTTGATTGATAACAGGAACAACTTCTTCTCCTAAATAAAAGAAATCAACATTAGATATTTTTAAAAACAATAGAAGTGATTTTGATATAAATAAACCTTGATGATTAGCAGGACAGGAGTGAAGAGCTAATGATCCAGAAATAAAATCATTTTGAACATCGATTATAACAAGTGCACTCACAGGTCTTACAGCCTATGGAAGCAACAATACAAGAAATCAAATAGTATTATTATTTAGTTACACATTTTATTGTTTTTTTCCATGCTTGTAGAAATTCATCAAAATCAATTTTTTTATCTTGATTAAAATCAGTTTCATGAAAATATTCATCAATCTGTTCGCTTAATATCAAATGGGGTCTTCTTTTATTAGAAAAAAGTGCATTGAGAAAATGATGAAAATCTTCACGAGTCCAAAAACCTTGTCTAAACAAGGAAAAGATATATTTTTACTTTCTGTCATGTTAAAGTTGTAATATTACCTTTGGAAATCAAAATATCTAAAACAATTTTCATATTCTTCGTCAGAAAAATTACTTCGTCTTAAAGAATCGAATGGATTGTTATCATCAGGTGTAGATGGCATGGATGATCCTTAATAAATGATAAAACACAATACAAATAAAATGAATAATTGAATAGAAAAAATAAAGTTATAAAAAAGACAGACAACATCTAAACGAACCTTTGGATCCCATGAATATTTTGAAAAAAGAATGTCTAACAAGTCTCAAAATAGAATATTGTGTCTTTTCATTAATATTCGCAAGAAATCCGTTGATAATAATAGAAACTAAAGTGTCACATAGAATTAAAACTTGTTGAAGAAATGTATCAAGAAAATGAGACATTTCGATCGAAAATAAATTTTATATGTCATTTGTACTTGTAATAGTGCAACATAAAAATCTAACAACTGTTTCTATTATATATTTCCCTGCAAACGTTTCTTTTTTTCTACTTTTCTTTCTGACTGTTATCGGAAAATATTGAAAAATGCAATAAATAAACGGAAGAGAATAGTAATAGTTATCGTAGCAAATACGACAAGAAAATAATGTTTGTAGTAGCTGACGGACTGCCATAAAATTGAACGATGTGAAACAATTAATGGTCTAACGATCGGTAGAAAGACAGATAGACATGGAAGAAAAATGAACGAACGAGCATAAGGAAAAAAAAAAATTATGCTTCACTCTCATGTGGACTGCTCGATTACCTTTTTTCTTCGTTTTTATTTCCTCGTTGATATAACAGTCTTATCGTGTTTGTCTTATGCAAGTCTCTTTTTTTTTTGTTGTTGTTGTTGACGGCACACTTCTCGACACTGATGACGAATGATTAACGTAGCTAAATGAGTCGATATAAATATATAGAAAGATTTATATTTTATTTATGAGTATATTTGCATGAGAGACTATTTCCCATAATAAAAGCTCAACAATAAAAAAAAGAGAAATTTGGCTAATCCAGAAAAAAAATTTGATGGTTTCGTGTTTCTATTACAAAGTTTAGATGAAAGTCTTTGTTTGCATTGTATTATTTTTCTTTGTTTTTTGACTAATAAAGTTACACGATAGTGTGCATGATGAAAACAAAATCATTCCGACAGTGCAAATTTAAGCTTTGGATAAACAGCATGAATACGATAGGATGAAAAGATAAATCATTGTATCGATTATTTAAGATGGCATACCTGTGCAAAAATGATACAAACGAGAGGTCAAAAAAGGCAATGCTTTGGTTTGAATTGTAAGTTTTGTTATGTCTATTACAACAACAGCAACTATTAAATACCTTCAAAAAAACACTCTAAAAATGAAAAAAGAAAAAAGCGATGAACTGATGGTTTTAATATGACTCAATCGAGTTTTTAATGCTTTTTTCAATGTTGATTCGATAGTTTTGTTTTTCAATTCGAGAAATTCATCTAGCAATACTTTCAAGATTCGAATTCATTCGGGCGGAAGAAATTTTACATTTCACTTGTGCAATTTTGCGTTTTAATTTTTACTGATAAAATTATTAAAATAATTTTTGCGAAAAAAAAATAAGACACCTTAAAATTTAATGATTACTTAAATAAGAAGCAAATTTTGTTTTTTTTTGTCTTTCACTAATCAGTTAATGCCATCTTTCGAATAATGTATAAGCATGTAATGTTCTCCATAGTTTACCATTAATCATCTGGTGTTGTTTTCTCTTTTTTTTGGGTTGTTTATTTTAAAACCGAATTCTATTGCTGGTGCGACATAGTTTATTTTTTTTTTATTTTAGATCTTTTTCTTTTTTATATTCATCATCAACTGAATAAATGAGTCTTCTGTCAAATTGTCTATTTGTACGGCATGTACTTAGTCGTACTGCTGTTTTTTCTCAATCAACATTTGTCAATGCATCGCGTTTATCATCAGTATTTAGGTGATTGTTTAGTGATTAATTTAAAATTGATTTATTTATATTTTAATCTATATGTGTTAGTTTAGATATTCATCTACGAATACATCTTCGCAAGAACAAAAGCAAAATGAAGCAACAACATCTTCATCGAATCAAACAGTAGAAAATCAAACTCAAACTGAACAAAAACCGGATGTTGATGTAAAGCAACTTCTTGAACAAAATGCAAAATTAAATGAAGAAATAAGTGAATTTAAGGTAAAGTGATTCAGAAAGTTGTTAAATAGAAATTGATGAACGATTAATATTCGAATAACATTTTGCATTTTATTATTTTGGTAGGGTAAGGAGAACATTTTTTAGCAGCGATTCGATATTAGGAAAAAAATCGAGATGAGAATACTTGTTTTTTTGTAGTTGGCCTATTTTTTTATTATACAAATGTTGAGGCTTTAATTTTATGATATTATATAATTTTTTGTTATTTGTTTTGAGATTAAGTAGAACATTGAAGATGTGTTCTTTTGAATTATGGGATATATTTTCCATATATATATAGATATTAGTTGCTAATACGCTTGAGTCTTCTGCGCGTCTTTACTTGATTATCAGGGTTTCGATAAAGTATATGCAAGTTTGAATAAGAAATTCTAAACCAGAAGATCCGTCTTTATTATTAATATTATTTTTCGAGTATACGCCTAACTAAAATTGACCTTAATTATACATTTGAGTTGTAAATGTCTATAGTACAAATGACATTAATCAACGTTTTTGGTAGTCGGCACCAATTATAACGGTTAACTAACATCCAACAAATATAGAATCTGTTTCAGAACATGATTAAACCGTCTGTTCTAATTTTCCTCTTGATCACACTCGGTTACTTTAATATAGACTTGAAAAAAAAATCAAAGGTTAACAAGGTAGGTCAGTATTTGTTCTACTTCTAGTTCATACCTTTTACAGTAGGCAAAAAAAAACACTATTGAATAAAAATAAATGTCTACTTCTTCATAATCATCTTTCTATTCCGACGAAACTATTCTTTTCATAGACACATAATGGTTTCATTACATGTGATAATTGATTTCAAACGTCTTCCTTTTTTTTTTATGTGCTTTATATAAAAATATTACGTAATATACATTTTTATTAGATTTTTTTTCTTCATTATAGGACCGTTACAAACGTTCATTAGCTGAAACCGAAAACACTCGAGTACGTTTTACTAAACTTGTGAATGATGCAAAGATCTTTGGCATACAAGGCTTTTGTAAAGATTTACTTGAAGTCGCTGATATACTTAATCTAGCATTAGTAAATACACCGAAACAAGTAGCAACAGACACAACAGCCTTAACAAAAGATTTTAATAATCTTCATCAAGGACTTGTAATGACGGAAGAAAGAATGCAAAAAATATTTGCTAAAAATGGTCTATTACCAATTAAGCCAAATGAAGGTGATAAATTTGATCCGAATTTTCACGATGCCTTATTTCAAGCAAAAATTCCTGAAAAAACAAGTGGCACAATTATACAAGTAATGAAAACAGGTTATCGTCTCCATGATCGGGTCATACGAGCTGCACAAGTTGGTGTTGCGCAATAAAGAAAGAACGAAAAATCCAAGTAATCAGAAATGATTTGTTATTGTTGTTTTTCTTTGTCATTTAAAATAAAAATGTTTCGTTATGCTTACCAACCCACACAAGAAGAAAACAGAACGGAAGGATGAGTAAGATTTTTTTTTCTTTTTCTGTTTTCTAGATAGAATAATAATATACTTTTACAACATAACATTAAAACAAATACAACACTACGATATTTCTATCGTTTCATCAAGTACGTCGAAAAGATTAGAGATATCACCGCATTCGTTCGAGTGAGTCATTTATTTGAGAAGAAAGAAACAACGTTTTTTCATATTTTTCCTTTTAGCGACTAGTAACGTCGTCGTTCGTGTTTCTACATTCTCCCTTGTATGTCCTTACATGATCATGAATAACATATAACGTGTACTTCATAGCGATTCCCGTACGTACAATTTTTTTCGAAGGATCTTTTATTAATTCTTTTTCTTTATAAATCTTCTAGCATTTGCTAATCCGGTGATTATTTTTGGCCTTAATCTTTATGGCAGTATGTTTTGGTGGTAAAAAATCCAAAGTATCACAAACAATAACAAAACGTTTTTCTTCAAATAAACATAATGATCTTGATCATCAACAAACTCTAAATAACCATCATCGTTCTCATTCCCATATAAATCATCATCAAAAAAATTCTAACATGCCTCACGATCTTTCACGTTCATCTGCTAATTCTGCATCATCATCAACATTTTCCTATTCATTTGGTACACCACAATCATCATCATCATCATCAAATAATACAATGCTTAACAATTATTATCATAAAAATTCAAAAAAATTTGATAAAATGGACATTTCGGATGATGATGACGAAGATGATGAATCAACAACAGATGACGATTCAAAACAACAAAAAAAACTTAAACGTACTGTCGAACAATTTACATCAGCACAACAAAAATATTCAATTGTTAATGCTGATATGATTTTTTATTGCTTTGAAATCTTAGGCAATCATTTATTTAATGGTAAACATCATTTAGGAAAACATCATTTATCTTCATCAAGTACAAGTAATCAATTAATTCCATCATCTATTACTCCACCTGCAGTTCCAGCAGAACCATATCCATTATTTGTTACATGGCTTATTGGAACAGAAAAACAATTACGAGGATGTATTGGTACATTTTCACCAATGAATCTTGCACAAGGTAGATTTTTTTTATAATTTAAATTATAAAATATAAGATATAATTAGATGAGTTTTTTTTTTGATCGTACATGTATATAGAGATGCAATTCATAATGATTAATTCTTAAAGTTAGTTGAAAATGTTTGTTTTTGTTTTTAGAATGAGAATAGATTTTTTTTCTGACTTGAATTTAATCTAATTCAATATTCTTTGTCCTGTTAACCATGCTATTAGCGTAATCCTGCAGGGATTAAAATGTGAAACATGATGTAGTTGCTGTTGATAACTATAGGATGATTGTTTTATTCTAGTTATTTTAGGACACATTTCTTTATTATCATTTTACTTCGTCCTCTAAAGATGCAATAAGCAAATAGTTCATATTCAATAACGCATCGTTATGTAGATATAATCTGTGATTGTATATGAAGGCCTGTCACGGTCTTTGACGCACTGAAGTGTTGCTAAGATGTCCGCCACGATCGGTATGGGAGTTCAAATTATTTACCTCTGTATTTCAGCATTCTCTTTTATATCAGGTTTCATAAAACTCCTTGTATACTTTTTTTAAATATTGCAGATTTTCATGTCTTAAACAAGTCAAAAATAGATCTTAAAGATATCTCAATAATTAGTTTGATCACGTCTCTTTATGAACTTTTTGACCCGCATGTATATCATAATTTAAGCGTTAGAAAATTATGAAGTATTGTCACGAGATCCTTTGAATCAAATTAAACATCGTCTCTAATTGTATTCTTATATCAAACATTGAAATATAAAAGATATGTGAAAAGTAACCTACCAACAAGAAAATAACACATCTTCAATGCAATTACATTCAATCAAGTAGCTTTTTTCATTAAATTAAAGTTCATAAATACTCCTGAAAACTACAACATTCGGATTCAATAGAAAACAATAATCCTTGTTTGAAGTTTTGAAAAACAAATGGCACGACATCATGCTAAATTGCTTCAATTATTTCCCTTATCCAGATGCTCTTGATGTAATTTATAAATATTTGTATGACAATTTTTTGAAAACATTAAAAATACTAGTCTGAAACGTGGTGACTGTGGGAAATCCTAAAATCGTACTAATTTTATAAATTGACTTCGTATCAAAAGTGTTGATGAGCAAGCAACGAATTGCTTTGAAGAAAGATACCTTATTACTAAAAATTTGTCGAAAGTATCATGCAAGTCTTTATAAAGTAAGAGAAAAACATCTGGATAAGAAAAATATTCATAAAAAAACTCTGTATTTTGCTTTTCGAAACGCGACGTAAAAGATTTTTATGTATTAGATCCGAAAGTTATTATTTTGAGAATTATTTATAAATTTTATGAATAAAAACTTGCAAGTGTCCTTCATTACCAGAAAAAAAAACTACTTGTTTCAATTTAATTGCAGTGGAAATGTATAGATTTCTTTTTCACAGGTGACACTTTTTTGATATGCAGTATTTAGCGATTTACTAAAGAATTCTTCGTACAATTCTTAACAGTAACGAAGAAAACTAAATGAGAAGTTTTGTTGGTATCGAAAATGTTGATTCAGAAAGACCGTCATAGACTCTCCGGAACCACCACAGTTGCTCCTCAGAGACATTTGCTTCGCAGCTAATTACTTCCGCAACGCTTTCTTTTCTACGGCTAGTAGTTAGAACTGCAGGCAATCAAAAATCAATCACAAAAGTACTGAAGTTATATATAGATCTCCACCTCTTCATTGTCCTTACCTTAACCTTCACCTTCGGCTTGACATTTTTCTTCGCTCTCATCTTCACCCTCACCATTAGCTGTTCAATAATATGAGAGCAAGTGTTGCGGGAATATCTGTCGGATGTGCAATAGTCACGTTACTAGACTGTTCGTTCTATTGAAATTATGATCAATTTATTAAGATTCTAATTAATAGCAAGATACTCAGAATAAAATCAAATTAAAAAATTTCAATTTAATATAATAAGAATCTTCTTATATTTTTATTTTATTTTTCTCTAGGTCTTCGCGAATATGCTATAACATCAGCAATAAATGATAGTCGTTTTTCTCCAATATCTCGTGATGAATATCCATCATTATCATGTGCTGTATCAATTCTAACAAATTTTGAACCATGTTCATCTTATTCCGATTGGTTAATTGGTCTTCATGGTATACGTATTGAATTTCTTAATGAACGTGGTTCAAAACGTTCAGCAACATATTTACCTGAAGTTGCTCATGAACAAGGTTGGAATCATATTCAAACAGTTGATTCATTATTACGTAAAGGTGGTTATAAAGCGCCAATAACATCTGAAATGAGAAAAAGTATACAAGTAACACGATATAGAAGTGAAAAATTAACATTACATTATAATGATTATGTACAATCAAAAGCAACATCATCAATAACAACAACAACATATTCATATACGACAAAAACAACATTTATAACAAACCGTCCGAAATAAAACATTTCTTTTTTTTTTTTGTTCTTTTTTGTTTTTCTAAGTTGTGTGGTGCTTGTTTTTCCAAAGTATACTCAGGATTATATCTTTTTTCTTTTGTTCTATATAACAACTTGTATATTCTATTATGTATTAGTGACAGTTGATATCATACTTGAGTATTGCTTTTAGAATGTCAAATGTCATGATTGACGATGAATCAAGTCGTTTAAAACATTTTATATGGGAAGAACTAGATGAAAACTTTTTTATTGCAGTGATATTTCGGTGTGTGAATTGCTTTGATTTGCTTTTCTTTTTTCTTATTTTCTCGTTTTCTTCTTCTTCAGTTGGAAAAATAAAAATATCTTTGTTCTTCTTATATTTATAGCTCAGGTCGTCGTTATTTTGTTCAACGACATTTTGAACAACAATTATTTGACATAAAATCATCATTAATACAAAATAAATGGCGACGATGTTTATTAGAAGTTATTTCAAATTCTTCATCACCTATTTATATTACATTAAATGAAGTACAATTAATGCATGACATATTTTCTTGGCATTTAAATTATTCAACTAATTATTTAAAATTACGTGAAAATATTGATTATATTATTGATTTTGAAGATTTAATTGATTGTTTTAATTCAATGTCATTAGATGATAATAATAATAATAATAATAATAATACAAAATCATTTATTATACAACCAGTTACAACATTGGATGCAGCTAGAAAAAATATTGAAATGTGGAAAAATTTACAAGAAAATATTATTGAAAGTAACACAAATCAGACTGTAGACAAAAGAGTTAAAAGAAAAAGAACAAGAACACCGAGTAAGATATTATATCATTTTTAAGTAAAATTGTTCAATATGTTTGTCCTGCTTTTCGAACTCTCAATCACACATTCAGTAGAATCTGCTAAATCATAGTCTAGATTGGATCCAATTGGCTTTATTATCAGATTTACGATGATAATCATGTATGGATAATCTAATAAAGAAAAGTGTTTCGTTGTCGTTTTTCGTATTTCTGCCATAGACTAAAGGCTTTTCCTTGAATAAAAAACTAACTTGATTAAATCTGTTATCTGTACCGTTTGTTGTCATAGATCAAAAAATTCAAATTCAATAAACTCTACTTTCAAGACTTTTGCTTTTTACAGTCGGAGAAATCAGAGTCGAGATGTTTTGCATTCTTCTTAATCATTAGAATATCAGCAAACATTATTAATCGTAAAAACTGAAGAATGTCGCTATTCTCTATTTTTCGTTTTGCATATTTTATTATACTATTAAAATAAAATGTCTCTTGACAATTTCAAGAGAACGAAAAAATTATTAAAGATGATCTCAAGGTTCCTATATATATAGGAAGGACATGAGTTTACGAAATCGTCTTCTTTTTAGTTGTAATTTCGTTTTCAAAAACCACCTAACACAAAAATTGTATATCTTCACCATCATTTAACCAATTTTTTTATGTGAAAAAGAAATGCTCTAAATTTTATTTGACAAGATAATATTTCGTATGTACTGTTGAAAAGATTTTATCGTTCACGTCCATAAAAACTGTCTAGTCTTTTCAAAATAACACTGAAAACATGATGAGCTATTTTTATTTTATGGCTTGAATTTTTTTTTTCGACCTATCATCCTAGTCATCATTATCCTCAATAATTGCCACAAACTTCTTTTGAAAAAAATGATAAGATTATTATCTTCCTAGAAAATAACTCTCTTATAAGTCTTCTTTTTTTGTAAACATAGATAAAAATAATTTTTTAACACTTCAAGGTAATAATTATTACGTCGCTTGACTGTTTTATCTACAAAAAACTATCAAACATTTATTTGATTGTTTAACATTCCACAGCATACACTGATCTTAGCAGAATTTCCGACGATCTCGATGATGATAAATGAACTATTTATTCGATTGAAATCTGCAATTATATTTAATCACAATTCCGGAAATAGAAAAAGCTCGATTAATTCAAAAAAAGATAATGTTATTGGCATTTGTTTTTATCTTCAAGCATGAATATTAAACATTCTGACTATTTAACATGTAAATCCATATTTTTATTATATAATTATTGAGTATAATGCATGATATATGTTGTAAATCCAATAATATATCAATGTGATTGAGTCTTAAAAATGTTTATTTGTCGTGCAATATTACTTACATTGTTTTTTAGTTTCATGTAATAAGTCAGTCGAACTTTTTGAATTTTATTTTCTATTATTCTTGATGATCTTGTTGAACAAGCAATTTCTTAAATTAATTCAATGTCAAGAAATCTTTCATAGGACAATGTAATTGTTATATCTTTTTGAAATTTCGATTAATTCTTAGTGTAGTAATTTACAAATGGTGATTGGTAGACTAGAGTCAATCGGATTGGTCTTGAATCCGACGGACTGTAGTCATTTGAGAAATGTGTCAGTCGTACTGGTCACTCAATACAAAAAAGTATCTCGTTTCATTGGTGCAACTGTTCAATTCAGATTAGAAAACTTTATTACGATTATCAAAGTACAATTTGATCTGGATCGAAAACTTTGGATTGAACTGGCTCTGCATGAAACACTAACATTTGACTATTAAGATAATGATTTGAATTGTATGATACATTATTGATCTGAAATTTTTAAAAAATTATCGAATTTGGTTAAGAAAATGATGGTGATATACAATCTTTTTCTTTTTGTTTTTTCGTAGGCAACTTTCGGAACATACTTTTTGACTAAATATCAAATCTAGATAAATGAGTTTGATTTGATGGTTTATAGGGTTATATCGGAACTGAAGTATCAGCATGATTATATAGATTCTAAATTTTATCAACTGGGAGTATCTTGCAGATTCTTATTCTGAGTAAAATTGTATGGAAAACGTTAACATTATTCTTAGCATAATTTAGTAATGGATTTATTGATAGAAGATATCCATGACGTTGTATTCTTCTTCCAAGCAACTGCTGTACTCCATGAATTAGAATTAATTAATCGAGAACATATGAAAGAATTTTTATGCAACTCGCAAATTTCTTAACGTCCTACATTACTTTCTCACTTTTACAATAAAAAACAATTTCATTCTATTTTGACTTTTAAGCCTTTAAAAGGCAATACTGAACGTTTTTATATCAGCTTTAATTGATTACTTGTTTTGTATTAAGCTTTTATATTAATAGTGTTTTTAAGTTGCTTAATAGATAGAAACAAATCAGCCCTCAAGCTGTTTCATCAATACAAGATACTTTTTTTTTCCGGTTCTCTGTATTTAGTAATTAGTGCATCATACACATGCCACAGATGTCCATAGCTCATCGGGCCTGAAATTTTCGGACTCTAGGAGTCGTCCCTTATTATGCTAACTAGTTAATTCACGAAAGATTATTGTCTATGGTACTTTCAACGGTACAAACTGTATATTTAAATTCTTTACTAGATATTTCAAATTAAAAAAAACCCTGTCTAAATATTCCCGACACATTTATCAATATATATAGTTTTCATTATTATTAATATTTAGCCTCATATGATGGATTTATGTTAATAGTATAAATATCTTAATGTCTTCAATAAGTTTTCAATTTTGTAATTGATTTTAGTTTTAAATACTCCGACAATTACTCCTACTCCTGCCAAATCATCTTTTCGATTTGATCAATCTTCACTGACTGGTTGGATTCAATTAGATTCTAAAATAGTACCATTTATAAAAAAGCAATGTGATCGTTTACTTCCAGTCGAATATCTTTTAAAAGAACATATAATAAGTTCATCAGAAGATTTTTCTTTACGTTCATTATATATTCCAATAAATGAGGATGATATTTATATATTTAATAATTTAATTCGTCAATCATCATCATCATCATCATCGAAATTTATATTAACAAATTATTCATCATTAATTACACTTGATCATTTAATATTTCGTTTAAAACGTTTATTTTTTATTCGATTTCTTTCATCACCAATAAATGTTGATTATATTGATTATAATCAAGTTATGTCATACAATGGTGGTTTATTAACATTAATTAATAATAAAAAACAACATATACCATTTATTTATATAAATAAACAAAAATATATTCCACAGATGAATAATATGGATTTTTCATTTATATCTACATTTTGTATGGCAAATAAATATGAATTAGAATATTTACGTTTAATAGCATTATATGATTATCTGTCATCGGATGAGAATAATGATAATTTTATAAGTTTATTATCAATTAATAATTTAACATTAATACCAATTGATTGTTATTATGAAGAAAAATCTTTAGAAATAATATCATTAAATAATTTTCATTATAATGAATATCAAAGACGATTTGAACAACAAAAATCTCTTATTCATTTTGAAGATAATCAACAATTATCAAGTGGATGGTGGCAACCTCCTGCGTCATCATCAAAACAGAAATCTCTATCACATATTAAATTACAAAGGCCTATTTTTTTTTAAAATATGATAAAATTAACCTGTTTTGTCCTTCTAGTCTGATACGTATTTTCACTTTTTTTCCAGTCTAATTCGCGTTTTTTTTTTGTATGTATATACACACAGAGTCTTCTAATTTGAAAACAATTCAAATAAAACAAAAACAAAAGCAAATTAGAAATTTAAACAGAATAACTTACATGAATTAGATGTATGAAAAATTGTAACATACGTTTAAAAAGATTCAAAGATGCAAGAATTGAAATCGAGTTGGAATTTTTCATAGTCCATTTTCAACAGGTATTAATTGCAAAACCATTGGCACTTTTACAACTTATGTTAATATACTGTTATTGCAATAAAAACTAGGCTATAAAGTAATAAAAAAAATAGCCCGATCAGGACGAGTACCGTTTCAGGAGACAACTTTATCGTCATTATATTTATTTTCTTCTCTGTCATATGCTCGTTCTATTTCATATAAGAGAGCATTTGTTATAATTTTGTTAAAATTTTTGATTTCCTATTTTTACAGCATGAATGTTTCAATAGTTCTTCTAACAGATTTCTCACCGAATTAAAAATCTATGACATGGTTGAATTGCTTCCGTTATCAATGAAAAGATTTGGCAACATCTATTTTAGTTCCTATATTTCTACGTACGATTTATCTGTATGTTAGAAAAACAAGTGGATCACGGACCAAGCTTTTTTTTGGGATAGGTATTCCTAGTTCGATATTGTTACTATTGTAAATATTCTACTAGGTTCAACATGAGTTTTTAAAATATCAATACTAATATACATGTTGCATAAAGAGAAAAACAAGGACATTTTTCGACCTTGATTCTTTCTTCCTTGTTCACAAATTGACATATGAAAAAAATATTTATCATGGTTTATAGAAAGAGAAGAGTGTCCAATACACTTATTATAAAATCGTATGCACATTTAAAGAATCTAGAAGAATTTGTGAAACGATTTTGGAAATCATCGTTATTGGATTTAGCAACAGTAAAGTCTCTGTAAATTAAGCAGATTATTTGTACCTACTTAATACTAAATAACAATACAAAGTCTCAGATCTATAGCATTTATTGTGGATAAGAAATTATAACAATACTATAATCTTGCAATTGTATTATTTTTCATAATAAAAATAAATATACATCAAGTTATCAAGGTTCGTGTATTTAATTACTATCATCATGAATGATTACTAAGTTAAATCGTGCTGGCATTGTGTCTATCAGTTCTGGATATATAAAAATACTGAAGTTTTCTATGCTTCATTAAGTTGTTTCTCAGTTGTTTGCTTTTATCATATTTTTGTCCTTAGAATTTTTCTTCTAATGCATCAGAAATGTTGTCTCTAGGTCAAATATCAGCTTCTTTTGCGTCACAGTGGTTTTTTTTCGATTTCACTGATAAACATGTTTAACAACACCAAAAGCCACGCTTATTCTTTGTTCTTTGGTATTTATCAATTTGAAAAATCAGATTTTGTAAATCATATTATTCTTCAATCATTTTTCCTGCTAAATTAGTTCAAATGACTTTTGCATATCTTTTACCAGTAGAAAAAGCTTTCATACCACGATCACTACCTTGTAGTTTGATGACCATATATATACGACTGTGTTGTGTCAGTTACTCTTACACAGTAAAGATTATAAACGGACAACTGTATTTATTTACTGCTAAGCATGTACCAGAGATGCCCATCGCGGCTGAAAACGGGGTGCTACTGCGTTGCAAAGACAGAAAAGTCTAGCTCACGTGCTACTGCGATACTATTAGAATAAATATCTTTCGATTTTCACTGTTGTGATTGTATTGATTAAAACCGCTGTTACTAATCGATATAACTCATCGAGTCTCAAAGGATTAAATTTGCGGATAAAGAAATTTCATGTATGTAAATTCATTTATTTTTACAATGTGTTTAAGGAAAAAATCTGCTGCCAACATTACGATAGCACTACAGCGACGGATATCCTTAGTAGGTACAATAGCCTTCCAAAGTTGCAAAGTGTTTTTGTTTTTGTACTCATTCCAATTATGTTCGATCTCAACAGTGTTTTACAACTTCTAAGATACTTTTTCTACAAATATGTTTCCCAAAGTTGAATAGATTAAAATATAAATCATCGTTGGAATATTTAGATCATCATTTTTAAGATGATTCTATTCAAATCGACCTATACAATCTTCACTAATGAGATGACTCTGACTCTGCATCATCATAATTCAACATCTGATCACAAATATATTCAAGTTAATACAATTCACATAACAAAAACTCGGGTCTACGAAAATTGGTCGATGCGAAAATTGGTTGAGAAATTAATTTAAAAAAAAGAAAGAAGAATTTTTCAACAAAAGCGACAACAGTGTGTGAAAGTCACTGGTACTTAACCCTAATCGATCAACCTGGGGTCCGTACGAACCCCAGATGAAAACAGTTCATATTGATAGTACACACCGTTGTTCTTCAGTATAATATAAATTGAAGCGAAAAAATGTAATCATTATACTCAGAGAACAATCGAGAGGGACTGATAGAATTTGATCATTTTATAAATTGACGAGTCAGGGTAAAAATATTCGTCATAGTACCCTGTACAGGTAAAGTGGACCCCAACCTTTCTCCAGAACAGTTGTTGATTTTAAGCAGAAGAAAAAATGAAAATAAAAAATGAGTGCCGGTGTTTTGATGGGTCCTCTTGAACCCCATCACACACTAGAACTTTCACCAGGTCTGGTACTCACACCTGCATCCGCATCCGTACCTTCACCTGCGCTCGCACCAACACTAACACTCATACCACACTCTCAAAATGCTTTTTTCTTAGTTCCACAGCTCTATCAGAATTAATTTTGATATAATTTCATGAAAATACATGAATCTAACAATTTTAATTTTAAAAAGTAATTCTAGTTCATATGCTGCATCTATTAGGACAAAAAAAGCTCCGTTGTAGTGATAGACAGTTTACTAATGGTGTCTTCCGTTTTCTTCTTGCAATGCTTTGACTGATTCGTAGCATTCGAAACTTTTATTTTTTTTTTATTGGAAATCTCTCGACTATTTTTTGCATCGATCAATTTTCGTTCGACCAATTTTCGCTTTCCTCAAAAACTTCAATTAATCGATACTCAACGGATTCTTTTCAATGACTTTCAATCATTTCATGCATAATCCATGTAATCTTCATATTCGTGAAAAAAAAGTTGCAAATAAAAAAGAAATATCTTTTTCTTTTCTGTTTCAGAGACAAATTCATATAAACAAAAGAGAAAAAACTAGGTATAATTTTATACAAATTTAACATGTGATAAAAAAAAAAAAGGAAAAGAATTATAACTTCTTTTATATTATTATAATCGACGTAAATCTAATTTTAATATTCGTGTAAATGTTTTTTTAAATTGTTGATTAGCTAATGCATAGCAAAATGGATTGATTGGTGAATTAAGATAGCAAAGAAAATAAAAACAATGAAACATTGGATTTGAAAATATCCAATTATTTTTGCACGACTCGCATAATGAATGAATTGCTGAATAGATGTGCCTTCGAATAAAAAGAAAAATCATATACGGAAAAAGAAATAATTGAAGATGATTATTTACCATGGAGTCCAACAAACTACAAAAGCACCTAAAAAAGTAAAAAAAAACAAGCACTTTGGTTAGATTGTTTGCAAGCACCGATGATATAAGTGTGGAATGAAAAATTCATACTCTAATATCTGTTTGATACATTACTATTTATGAAGATAAACATGCTTTTCAACTTTTTGATGTAGTTTTATGATTCAACATCAATCATTAGTGACATCAAGTTATGGAAAAACTACAAAAGCGAGCTTGTAATACATCTATCTGTCTAATGCTTAGTTTGAAGCAATACAAAATACATTATTCATATTTTCTGTCGAGTTCTAATGTGTAAATGACACCGAAACTACGTTACCTATCATTAGCAATACAAGGAAACAACTTTCTTTTATTAGGCGTGATAATCTATATCACTCAGCGACTGTAAAGTTTAGAGATATGCAGGGTAGAGTAGGGTAAGGATTAAAGATTTTTTCTAAGCCAGAGTACAGGATACGAAAAAGAATTGCCCTATACGCCTCTAATAAAGTTACAGCATTCCAACTTTAGTATCATTTAATTATAACACACTATTAAGTCATTTACGATTAATACATCTAATAACTATTTTATTGAGCGTGAAAGATGAGATATTGAAGTTTCACTTTGGGATTTGTGGTCCTCGTGTCACTTCGTCAATACCCTATTATCATATGGTGACATACACTTTATCCTCATAATTCTCTAAGACTAATTAGAACGTGTTTTTAATAGAAAATTTTTATGTTCTGATTGATATAACTGTTCATAAAAGCAAGCTATGTCAGCTAGGATAACAAAGATGCGAAGTATTTTTTTGTTTACACCTACAAACTTCAATATGTTAATATCTTTCATAAGTTTTATCTTTAATCAGTCAAATAGTCAAAGAATAATTTGAACATACCAAGAATAAATGTAATTGTTCTTAAAGCTTTTCTAGCTCTATTTTGTGATTTAGATTTTCTTCTATGACTTGATTTTTGACTTTGCATAAGTTCTTTAATACTTGATTTTGCTGAATTAGAACTTGTCATGCCTGTCATTGTTCCTTCAGTAGCCAAAGATGGTCGTCCACTTTTAATATCATTTCCATTTTCAATTTGTTCGTGAGTACTATTCAAATAATTCATTTGACCTTTTATATCAATTTGTGCCATAACACTTTGATCTTTTGTTTTTGGTAATGATGTAACAGAATTTTGCATTACAAAACTTTCAAATGTTACTTTTGATGGAATTCGATTATTTAATAATAATGAATCAGTTTCATTTAGAAATGTATCGGAATGATGTTTTTTTAATATTGGAGAACGTTCAACATTTTTTAATTCTTCACTTATTTTTCGTTTATCTGATCTAGAGATAAGACATAAAAATCAAAATGAAATTTTACTCTATTCTTTTTTGAAACAAAATAATCATTACCCTCCATATAATGTACTTGCTGTTAATGTTGTTGTTGTTGTAATTGCATCAGAATCTGATGATGTATTACATTTATTGTCAATAGCTGTTAATAAATGTTGCGGTATTTGTCTATCTTGTGATGATGTTGATGAACTAGGCCAACTATTTCGTGATAATTGTTCATTTAGATTAAATTGTTGAAAAATTTTATCAACAGAAAAATCTTGACTATATGTATTTAAACTAATACTATTTGTTAATGTTTGTTCATCACTTGTTGTATCAAGATTTGTTTTATTTAATATCATCATTTTCATTAAGTTATTATTACATTGATAATTATATTCATCATCAATAAATGCTGATGAATATCGTTCATTGAGATATAATAATGATGATGTGTTTTGATTTATTTCTTTATAATTTGATAATAAATCACTTTCACTATTTGTTAGATTATCATCAGTATCATTTATTTGACAACATTGATAGAAATCAATTAATGCACGTTCAACATCAGCATGTCGATTTGTTGAAGATGATAATGCTAGAGATGTTGATGTTTGAGGTAATGGAATTTTGGCTTTAGAAACGAAAATTATAGATGATGTTTTATTTATGTCATTTGATGATATTGGTAATGATTCTGACTGTGATCCCGTTTTAAGTAAAACTTCACATGGTACATGACGTAAACTACGATGTCGTATTGGTATATTTTCATAGGACGGATCTGAATTTGTACAAGCATAAGTTATCAATTCAACACTCTCAAATATTGGAGATTCAAGTATTGCTTTATGAGCATCTTGATGATTACCATAGATTTCATAAATTTTATTATCATTATTATTATTATTAGTAGTAGTAGTCGATAGAGATGCTAAAGAAGATTTTGATCGATCTTTATATTTTATATAAAATGGAGATTTGTAAACAATAGTTTCTTCATAAACGGGTTCGTTAGACTCATTCGATGGAACACAACGGCGATGTAAGATGTAACCTTCAAAGAAAAATAATTAAAAATTATTTTCGTAAATATATCTTCAACATCTTATATTATGAATAATTGTTCTAGAGTCAAAGAAGAAAATAATAAATGTAATATACCTATAAAATGATTCGACATTGATCTCTATTGAAATTCGTTTATATCTTTTACTGTGTAATTCATTTTAAGAATTATTCCACGTTTAATTGAATATAATATATACAAATCATATAACTTCGGACAAAGTAGAATACGGAATTTTGAAATTCTTTTGCTTTTAACAATTATTTTTATATTTAAATGCAAAGCGGTTAACACATATGATCATATTTACAAAAAAAATAGTGAATAGTCGAAAGTTTGCCAATAAGAATTTTGCAATCTGTCACGAAACAATATTAATATACGATATATCTAAGGACTCACGCTAATATTGTTATTATGCATATTTATTATAGCTTGTACTCATCAATGTAGTCGATAGAAATTTCTTTCATCCCTATCTAATTCACAGTCAAATTGGCGAAAGTCTTATTGGCTACTATGCCAAAGTCCCGGAATAGTAGAAGACTATCGTTTTGTTTTCTCTCGGTCATTGTTTTTTCTTTCGAGTAAGAAACAGCAAAGACTTCAGTCGTGAAGTTCTCTGAAATTTTTATTCTTTTGTCAAACAGCTGAAACAAAAAAAAAATCGGAGTTCGCGGTTGAGATTAAAAATGAAGCTGTTTGAGTCTAAAGTAAATAGTCCTAACTATGAGTACATTGCGGAAAAGAATTAAAAAAGAAAACAAATTTTTTTCTTAGATTCATATAATAATTAGAATTTTTTGTATAGTAGACATAGTTTTTATTTGTCTCGAATGCTAATGTGATATAGAAGTCTTGCAAAGCTTATGAAATTCAAAGAAATCTTTTAAAGATTTAGACATTCATGATTTCTTCTTGTACTTAGAAGATATATTACATGCCGGAAGATTAAATATGACTTACCTAAATCTTCAAAATCAGTTTCATCAATATAAGGTATATCAAGACTACTATTACTATTAAGTAAACGCCAACTTTCATCAGATGATTCATCAATATTATTTACAATTTGTTTAACAGTTAGTTGTGCTTGAGAAATAGGAGATGTTGAATTTATTTCAATAAGATTATATTCTTGTTTTTCATCTACTATTGTTTGATTTGAATGATTAATATCTTGTGTAGAACTTTTATCTAAAAGTATTGATGGTGTTGATTGGAAATTAGTTGATAAGTTTTCATTAATTATTGATGTTGAATGTTGTGATGGTTCAATTATCGAAGATACTGGTACATGACGAGCTTTTAATTTTTCATGAAATAATTCTTCTGGCATAGTTGCTAATGATTCAGGTCGTGGTTGTGGTGGAGCATAAATACGACATAATGAAAGTTCAGGTTCTGATGGTATTGGTGTAAGAGTAACTGATGGTTGTGTAGCAGTTGTTGGTTGTTTAAGTTTAGTTTTCGTTGTTGATGATAAAGTATTTAAGTGTATTGGATTACGATGAAATGAATTTGCAAATGATTTAACATTTGATGATTGTTTTTGATTAAAATGTCTACGAAAATGTTGATTTTTTGATGAAGTTAAATTAATAGCTATTGTTGAATCACTACCCGAATTAACACTCATACCACGACGAACTATATGAGATTTTTTATCATTTGAAAAATGAAATCGTTTTTCTTTTTTATGATTAAAATCATGATCAGAATGAGATTCATATGAATTGGAAATATCATCATCCCCACCATCATTTGTCGGCTGTCGTTCGGATGAATTATCACTTAATTGTTGATGTAACCTTTTTTGTTGAAGTATATTTTGATCATCATCATTATCATTTGTTGTTGTATCTATTTTATAACTTTGTTTATCAACATGCAGTTTTGTCGGAGACTTTTTTACTCCAATACCAACGCCTATTTGTGTCATTGTACTACCTATAACAAGTAAAAACCAAAGAGTGAAGAAATAAAGTCGTTTTTTTTCTTTTTATTAATGATAGTTTTACCAGCCATGCCAACAAGTGAAGATGTTTTACGGGCATTTTCTTGAGATTTTTTTTCCAAATTACTTGCAACACCTAAATAGTTCATTAAAACTAAATAAATAAGAAAAGTTAGTTAATACCATATATAAAAATATATAAAACAATCATAACAAATAATGTCGTCCAAAAATAACCAATTGTTAAACATAAATTAAATACATGATTTTTATTCCATTGAACGTCACCTTAAAAATAAAAATTTAAATAAAAATTCAACAAAAAAAAAACAAATTTATAAATTTTAAATACTTACAAACACCATTTTGCATATTTGAAATTCCTTTTACACGTGGATAAAGCATAGTTGATGTAAAAAAAATAAGAGTAGGTACTAAAAATTTTAAAAAATATATGTGAACTAAAAACAGAAAAAAAAACATTAATAATACTTGTTATTTACCTGCCCATGTAATAGCAATCATAATATTAATTTTTCGTTTCGTACGCCATTTACGATACTTAGCTGGCATTTTAACTGAACAAAATCGATCGATTGTTATAAATAATACTGTATAAATTGAAGTTAAACAAACAGTATAATCAAGTGAAAGCCATATGTCACATATAATTGCATTTAATGGCCACTCTTTTGCATAGATGTATATTGTAAGTAAAGGCATTGATAAAAGGCCGATTAGAAAATCACTAACAGAAAGTGAAAGTATAAAATAATTTGTTGGCTGTCGAATTTGTCGATCAAGAAAAAATGCAAGCATTACAAGAATATTTCCTAGAACTGTTAATACTGATGTTATACTACCAAATACGGCTATTAGAATTAATAACCAAAATGGATAAAATCTATCATTTGTTAAATTAGCTTTTGTTGATATTAAAAACGATGATGCCGGACCAGGTATATGTGATATAGTCCAATTTGGATAATAACTACTTGTATATGTTGATCTAATAAAATTTGTTTGACTAGCATTAATCAACAACGCATGCGCAATGGCGGCGTTGTTATGATTGCTGCCTAGATTAACCACAGACGACATGCAGATATTGTTAAGAATAAATCTAGTATAAGTTTGATGATCATAATCATTTTAAAGTCACACCGATGAAAGGGATAATGGCGGTATATCATCGCCGACTATATGAAAAACAAAGAATAACATATATATATATATATATACATATATATGGATGCAAACTTATTACAGTTGCGAGCAAAGAGAGAAAAAAGAACTATATATATGAAATCCTAAGAGATGTTTTGTTCTTCTTTTTTTAATCTTCATCAGGCGCATGAAGCTCTTTTGTAAAATGTAATAGCTTTTAAAAGATACATTTCTTGATTTTTGTTGCTCTTCATCTTATTGAAATATGAAAATCTTAGTCTATTAATTATGAGTGTTTTCTTACTTACGTCACTTGTGTTTGTCTACATTAACTGAAAATAAGAAAAACATCAAGGATGTAAATAAAAAAAGAAAATTTCCATCTCAGAAAAAAACGCGTTATAAAAGAAACATAATTAATATTGACACTAATTCTTTTATTTAAACAAAATACAAATGAATAGAAATGTGTATTCTATTTTATCAGATTTTGTTTTCTAATGATATTATTTACACACTATTAATTTTTTCAATGATTTAAAAAAAAAAGCATTAAATGTCGTCTCCAATATAAACAAATATCTTTGATGTGAAACTACTAGTAGTGTTCTATGACATGAATAGAGGAAAATTATATATATTGTGCATAGAGAAATGACTTTTTTTAATACTCTCTTCTTTCACTCTCTTTGTTAATTTGATCGCACATCACTGCACCGTCTATTTAGTTAAAAAAAGGCTTATTATTTTCTATTTTCTCTTTTTTTTTTTATTTTCAAGACTATAATGGAAAGTATCTGTTGCACTGTTTCACAGAAATGTCGACGGTAAGAGCTATTAAACGTACTTTTCATCAAAACTTTATAGATGAAAATAGAAAAGGTTAAAATAGGAAATAATTAGTAATGAAATTTTCTGCCTTCTAAGCTCTCGAAAGATCTGTCAAAAACATGTGTATATTATAATTAAAATCATATTAGCAAAAAAGAAATGAGTAGAAAAGAATATTTATGATAAAATGAAGTTCCAATAATCTGACTATAATCATCTATATCTATACTCATAAATCTTTACCTTAATAATATTTGTTTTTGCTCATAATAATGAGACATTATATGGATTGTATTACATGACATTATTTAATATATCGATCATATTACTCTTTAATATTCTGTTTCTCTGTCTTTTATTGTATGTCTTAGAAAAGATTTCTCGCAAGAAAACAATATGACGAGTTCAATAAGAAAAAAGAAGCCTAGCGTAATTCCCGAGAATCTTCATCAACGACGGTTAATGTATGTGTCAAGGAGAATTAATCGTTGCATGTGATATAGGCTGGAGAAAATGCTAAGTGGTGTTGTTGACGAAGGGTTACTTCGAAACTTGATTTTGCCCAAATGTGTGGTATAATACAAGAATAGATCGTACGATTAACAACTGCAAGTAACAAGTGGGAGAGAAAGAAAGAAAGAAAGAATTCTTGACAACGATCGCAATCAATTTGTCGACAAAATCTAACGCGAAGGATCTACTAGAAAAACACAAGATTCATCCATCTATCTATCTATCTATCTATCTATCTACATATATATATATTGAAAGAAAAGAATTAAAGAAAAACTAAGATTAAACTGTTTTTTAATCTTTTATCAAATAAACGATTATAATTTACGAAACAAAATTCAAATATATCTTTCTTTCTGAAAAAAATATGTACTGAACGTTAATGAAGTTTGTATCTCGCAAATGTATATCATTTTCAAAGCTTCTTGCCTTTTTTTTTTGATTAACTATATAAGATATATAATGAGTTCCTGTCTTTTGTTTTCTAGTCTTTTTAAGCTTATTACTTCTTATAGTTTTCATCTGTTTTTTTCTCGAGTAGCTAATGTTGATGATTGTTTAAAACATGGCGTGTGAACTATTCTTTATTTGTTTTTTTTTTAATCTTAGATTAGACTAAATATAGTTTGTCACATTTTATAATTGATTTTTTAGTATTCTATTTTCTCTTTTGTACTACTCTACTTCTTCCATGAATTTTCTCTTTGAATAAACAAATTCATTTTATAGCTGTTAAACCAAATAATATGTCCAATAGTCATATGACATTTTATGTAGTAATTCTAAGAAATCTCTAAAGAATTCGTAACAGAAAAGACGATTTAATAGAATACATAATAGATCAATCTTTCAATAAGACAATCAAGACGTATTGTTTAATTAACTCGACTTACTGTTATATTTATCAAGTTGATGAACGATAAAAACGCTCACTTGATTTATTTCTCTTCTTTGACGGCAAAGAATTGATGTGCGTGTTTTCTTTCTTGTTTTTTCTTTAAGAACTTATGTGCGTACATTTTCTTTTTTTTTTCTTTTTGTCAAAAATCTAATTCAATAAATGAACTGAAGAAATAACACGAGGTTTTTTCTCCTTTTTTGCTTTTTCTTGTTCGCTCATCATTCAAGAAAAGATTAAAAATCATCATTGCTTGCTAAGCGAAAAGATGAGATTTACTATCTCGGCTCAATGGATTAGTGACGAGCATATATACAATGGACCATCGCATTTACTAAATCGAATTAGATCAACCATCGTCACTATCATCGCTTTCTTTCCTATTGCTCGAAAAAGTATCACACTAGTCAAATTCATCAGTATCCTCAGATAAAAGAACGACTGAACGAAAGAAAGATATTATCATCCGATTATACAAAACACCGCTAATATTTCATCGATCCGATAAAAATTTTTAATATTTTATGAATATAAAAATGATCTCTTCATAATATTGCTTTGTTACACATCCAATAATTTATGTATTTGATCATCTGTTTTCACTATTGACTGGTATCAAAAAGCTTTGTTTATTGTTTATGAAATTAAAAAAAAAAAAAAACTTATTCAGAAAAGCAAACAATTCTACTGTTTTTTTAGCCTTTTCTATCTCCTTTGAACATAACTAGAAATGGATGAACGAATGTCAAACGATTTGTTTATTCATGCTGTTGTTGATAAAAGCGCGCGAGCGCATTTCCTTTTTATTTTTTTGACTGATCCATCGATGATGGAAACGAAGAAAAACTAAAGAAAAAGCTCTTAACCAACTCGTAATTTCATTTTGTGAATCACATAATTCCGCTTCACAAGTTCCTTTGCGCACTAACTAACGTAAAAAAGAAGAAAAAAAAAATCAATTCGTTTTTTTTTGCTATTCATTCAAGTGATTGTCCTCGGTTGATATGCAAAATATGTATGTACTCAAGCGCGTCATTCTTCATTTCTTTTGATTATTCAAGAAATAATCCAGAAGAGAAAGACGGAAGTAAAGACTGGTTGAGAATGACAGTTGTTTCATCTTTATAGGCGACATCTTTCTCTTTTTTTGGGGGGGACTTGTCTCTCATCATTATATCCTAATCTAATTAAATTCATGAAACAAAATTAGAAAATCTCTGATATACGTCAAGTTTTATTATTGTATTATTAAAAAAAAACATAATGAAATGGTTAAGAAATAACAGAATCATAATAAAAATGATTTCTAGAACATGATATATATATATATGTCATGGGTTTATTTGGTCTTTTCAAAAATTGACAGCAATGATAATGATGGATAATGACATATAGTACTTGATAAAGAACAAGATATGAACTTTGTATAATATGCGTCAAAACATTTTACCTTTACATATTTTGGTAAGTAAAAAAATTAGACTAAATCATAATCTATGATTTTCTTTATTTGTTTATGCTTTTGATCTCATCTACAGCATTATTGTTTGATGCTGGTATTTGTTATAAAAAGTTCTAGTATTTGAGAATAATCAATAATAACAACATACGATTCCTTAATTGATAACATATCCTAATCAATCTGATCAATTGACGTTTATTCATAACAATAAAGATCTCTTGTTTTGATATTGACATATAAACACATGTGTTTGTCGGATGTGTCAAAACATCCTCAAGCAAAATATATGATTGCATTATGATCGTTATCATACCTTTAGATATATGTTGACTTTAAGTCATAGGTCGACAACTTCTGTTTTGTATTATATTCAAGAGTAATAGAAAGAATTCCTAATGAACAATAAATGTCAACAATTTAATTGAAGAATAATAGTTTTATAATTGAATACTGAATAAAAATATAAATTAATAATTAATTAATACGAAAAAAAATCTGTTGTTTTTGAACAAAATTCATTTTATTGAAAAAATGTTTCCAAATTATGATCATCAATCGAACTCATGTTTTAATCTTAATTTAACAAGAAGGTTCAAAGCCTGAATGAATTCATATACTACTCATAAATCTGTTAAAATTATGATTTTTCTTATTGACTATAGATCGAGTATCAGAGTTTTTCATTGAAAAAGTACGAGACTTGATTATTTATAAATCATGATAAGCCGTTATAAATATAGTCAATAAACTCTATATCATCATTATTATGAAGAAACTCAACAATATCTTATTACAGTTGAAGAAAAACAAAATTTTGTAACTTATATCGACTTTTAAATTCGATCATGTGCCACATTTAAATTCCAAAATATACGATTCATCAGACTCTTAAGCATTATACGGTGTGCTTATAGAGACAATTCTAGATAATAAAATTCATTAGTTAGTTTCTAATCTATGTAATGCCACGGGCAGACTGGCAGTTGGGAACTTGACAAATAAGCCTCCAGCCAGATGAGTTTTCCGACATTTGAGCTTTTCATATGTAGTTTTGACCTAAATAAATAATAAGCTACATATACGTACATTGTTCACTAAGATGTGATAACATACTATGTAACAATATCTATAAATAATTAATCACTCTCATCGGTCAATATGTTAGTAATTCTTTTCAAAGGAATAAAAAAATTCAGTATTTGATTAGTTATTCCTTGAACGAATAATACATCTATCAGAACAAAGAAAACTTGAACCATTATTCTTTATATATCTCTTTGTAGGTATATCAATTATACAATTATCAAAATGTAAAGATCAATATCTTGTTGAAATGTTTTCGAGTATGGATGTGGGAATGGATGTGAAAACTCTTCTCATTCACAACTAGAAGGCTACAGGAGGTTCCTTTTTCACAACCTGTAACCTCTCATGTCCTTTCCTGTGTCACATCAGAGAAATATTCAAACTTTTTTCTTAGTTTTTTTTTGTAAAATTTCATTCAACGTGTTTCAATTATAAAGCAAATAAAAATCATTAACAATATCTAAATTTAATAATTTTCGTCTTTATTTTTCGAAATTCGACCTAATGAATTGAAACATGCTCTGATCTAGTTGAACTTGTAGGAACTCCAAATAAGAGTTTCTATCTGAAGATCATCCAAGACTTATCGTAATCTTAAAGGTGTTATTTATAGTAGAATCTCCTCATTGTCAATGCTGTTGTGTAATTCTATCATTTGTTCCTCTCTACAATTCCCAAACACCAATTATACATGCCTTTCAACGGCTTTGATAATAAAGTAAGTTGTGGAAATATTGAAGAATGCTTGCTCCAACATTCTAACAATGTATCATCTTTCAAAAATGAAAGTTCGTTGTTAATATAATGATCAATTTCATCATAATTATAATCACAATACTTCTCCACATCGTCTGCAAAATTCTTCCATAATATCATATCGTATAACTAAATCATTTTTCTTTTTCTTTTTTCTGACGCCTTATTGTCAATGTTAAACATTATTGTAGATATTACAGATGAATGTTCTTGTTGAATCAGAGAACTAAATGTATGCTTGAGTAGCTATATAATATATAAACGATAAATTAATGACACAACTGTTTCTGTTGAATATCCTTGCGACTAATGTTATTTAATTATTAGATCATTTTCAATTCTATTTCTTTTCTTATTGTATAACTTTAGTAAAGATTGCGACAATATCTAATATGCAAAATTAGTCAACGGTTGATAAGTAACGACATTTATACCTTGTCATCTACCCTGCTCTAGCCAGGGCAGAACAAGTTATCTATATCCTGCAGGGCTCTACTCACACTCATACCCGTGTCTTATATGAAGAAAACAAGAAACATCTTAGACATTGGATTACTGATCTTCATATATATTCCAGAAAAAAATATTCCAAGAGAGCAACAGCCTTATTTAATTTTTAGCTTTTTTTAAATAAATATTTTAAAGATGATAATTTTTCATGTTCATAATCTATCGAAGCTTAACTGCTGTTTCAACCATGCCAGGACCCCATCAGTGGTCCGAACGAGGGGAAAAGGACGAAGTGTAGTCTCTCTCCCAGTCTAACCAGTTTTTATTCTCATCCTGCTCGAAGAAACACATTCTCCTTTTGTCGAAAAAGGTGACAGCCTCTCAATGTTGGCTGCTTCGAATCATCATTGTGGAGGACAAAAGCGAACAATACTGTAACGGGTGATTGAAAAGTTTCGACCCCTCTCAGTAAATCGATGATATTTATGACAAACCTATATAAAGTTAATTGATCGAAACATATGATTTCGTAGAGGAAGATTAGATCTATCATCTTAATAGAAAAGACCTTTCGAAATGCATAGATTTAGTTCAATATTATGGTTATTTTACTAATCTTGAAGGAATATTTTCATTTCACATTTTTTAAGTAAAATTTTAAAAAAATTCTATAAAAGATCAAAATGATTTATAAGTTTGCCAGATTAACGTTTTGTATAAATATCAATAATCAAATTTTGTCAAATGTTGACCCTGTTTTCAACCTTTTTTAGAATACTATTAGTCATTTTCTGACACTGTTCTATACTTAAACTTTTCTATTTATCAATAATTTTTTATTTAATATTTTCATATTTACTTAAATCTTATCAAATGATCCCTGATAAGTTTTATATTAATCATATTTCATTTATTTAGCTTTGAAATGCATACTGAAACTTTTTTTAAATAAGACTGTCAAAACGAAAAATTCAAGTAATTGAGATGCTAAAGAATAAATTTTAAACAGTAAACTTCATAAAATAAGACTGCCAATATGACAGCATTTAACAATAGGAATAGTATTACAAAACTGCAATCATTATCCGTCAATATGATGAATATTATTCCTTTAAAATGAGAAGTCTTACAGAAAAACGATGCCGGCAAAAGACATACAGCAATTATGAAAAAATTTGATTTCATGTTGCGAAGAAAATACTCAATCAAGATTAGTGAAATAATCATAATATTGGACGACATCTATGAATTTCGAAAGGTCTTTTTTTTAAGATGATAGCTCTTATCTTCTTCTACAAAATATATGTTTTGATCAATTAACTTTACATAGGTTTGTCGTAGATATCATCGATTTACTGAAAGGGATCGAAACTTTTCAATCACCCTTCATTATACAACCATTTCCTAGTCAAATAAATATTTCTTTTCACTATTTATGATAATTACATACAAATAAATTCAAATTGTTTTATTAATTCTTATTTTAAATGTATCTTTTTCATATGATTTTCGTATATATGAAGTACATGATTGATCATATTGATTTGTTAAATTATTCGGATGTATTTTTTCATAATTTTGTAAAAATATCCATAGAATATTAGCTGCATATTTTTCTCCTTTATTAATTAATTGTATTAATTGATGAATTATTGGTAACCATGAAAGTTTATATCGATCCCAAGCAAAACCAAATGTTATTGCATTTTCTAAATGATTTATATTAAAATAACGAAATGATTTATCAAGGTTTTCTAAATGTGAATGAAAAAGTTCCCTTAATGATATTACTGATATATTAAGAATAAATTCAGTTAAATAACCTATATAACCATCATCAGATATACCACGTTTTATACAATCATGTGGTAAACTTGTTTTATTAACATATGGACGAAGTTTTTCAAGTAATGCACGTGAAAAACAGACACCGGCACCATATGTTGCAAATGTATATGTTCGATTATGTCCAGGAACTTTTAATCGATAATCAATACTTGTTCTACCAATATAATATGGTTTAGATGAATTAATTTGAGATAAAAATTGATATAAATTATCTAGATTAACATATTGATCATCATCAAAACGACACATCCAATCAAGATTAGAATTTATTTGTGATAAATTATAAAATAATTCAAATTCATGTGCTGTTTTACAACATAAATCAAATCGATTATGTGTTTGTGGACAATTTGTTTCAATTAAATTTTTAAATGAATTTAATACTTTTTTATTAGAATATTTTGAAATATTATCTGTTAATAAATATATATTTGATTGTTGAGATAAATTTGATGGTATCCAACTTTGTAGAAGATAATCTAAACGTAATTGACAATGATATGATGTACGAATGAAGATAATTGTTCGATCAACAGTTGTAGATGTAAAGTAATTTTTTCGTTGAGTTATGGACGTAATTACAACAAAGGAAATACTTATTGAAATTAGAAGAATCGTAATAAGAAAGCAACGTAATATAAAACGATTCCGACGACGAAACATAGATGAATGAATAAGACATAAATTTATAAGAAGGATCAAAATGAAATCTTATATTTGATAAGATTGTATCGATTTCTCTAGAATATCTTTATGTGAATGTAAATTTGATATGAATCTAATGTTTATTAGTCTAAAGCAATTTATTTTTTGTGCTGGAGAAAGCTGATGAAAAATTCTTATTCAAGGTAATTTTCATTTTGTGAAACACGATCTAAAATGAATGTTGAAATAAAGAGTGAGAAATTTGAATCCTTCCACGTATAGACCGTGAGAGATATTGTCAATATACGATCAAAAACTGTATATCAACAACATCTCATTATAATACATGAACTACTTACTTATTGTATTTCTGGAAGAGTAAGACAAAAGAATAGTGAAGAAATGTGTTTCAAAATAGATAGGATAAAACAATCTTTCTGCGATTAGCAAGAGCAGTTACATCGTGCTTTTCATTTTAATCTCGCAGAGATTGCACTAACAGCTTTCCATCAAAGCTTACATATATCAGTTACTATAGAGGACAATACAAAACAAATGAATGCTTTTTTATTAGTGATTAATCAGCAATATCAACTTAGTTACTGAATCAATATATAACATTCCTTTTTTCCAAGATAAATATATTTTTTTTGTAGTATTGATAGAGATATTTAGTTACCTGAAATAGATTGAACAAAGCGTTATGAAGTAGCAATCAAATTTATGTATGTACTCTATATCATTCAACAGCGCATTATCTTTTCGGTTGACATATTGATCTATTTTTAAAAATGATATTCTAGAACTTATTTGAGGATTAATACTTTTTTTAAAGAATAATTCTTTTCTTCTTGTCATGATGATATGCACTCTTTTTTGACAAGAACTTATCTAACGAAAACATGAAAAAATAACTTTGCTGATTATGTTTTCTATTTTTATATAAAAGTTATAAATAGGTCATACAATCATACAACATGCTACGTAAGTTTGAATGAATAAGAATTGATAAACTCTTTCAAGTGAGTTGAATCATACATATGATTATTTTCGTTCAGATATTGATATTCGCTTCATTATTATATGAATTTTAGCACCTGGTTATTAGATTTCCAAATACATTACTTATCAATGACAACCTAAAAGTATCAATTTTTCTTCTTAAATGAAAACTTATCAAATAGAGTATTGGAAAATCTATGTTGCAGTTATCTTTTTCCATAAACTAAGTTCAAAATAATTAACATAAATATACAGTTGAAAAGATAAGAATTACGGTTTTTTCTTTATTTCCTTGGCAAAATCCAACCAATATTTTCCTTGTCCTTTTCATTATAACATACTGAGTCATTTTTTCGTTCTTTGCAGCAATAGAAAGATAATGTGCACGCTAAACAAAAAAATATTTACTTAGTGACTGTTTTTTGCAGATCACATTGATTAAAAATCGTCAGATTAGATTTTGTTTATTATTGTTTCGAGTAATGTCACAACCATGTGCTATTAAAACATGTAAACGTGCATCACGTACTTTATGTCATTGCTGTAATCAAAATCTTTGTCGAGATCATTTCAATGAACATGATGATTTACTCAATTCGCAATTGAATCCTTTAACTGACAGAGTCAATGTATTAGGTGATCGACTAACAGCAATAAAGATCGACAACATAAACAATGAATATCGTCAAAAACTTAATCAATGGCGTATGAATTGTCATAAAAAAATTGATCTTTATTATGAACAAAAATGTCAAGAACTTGATCGATATGTTACCGAAAAATTAGACGAACAACGAAAAGAAATTGCTAATCTACGTTCAACAATGATTGAACTAATCGATAAACAGGAAACAACAAAAAATGACATCAATTCACTTACATTGGCTATTTATACTTTAGAGCAAAAAATGAATGAGATTGAACAGATCCATATTCAAGTTGATATGCATTCATTAGTAATAGATGATAATTTGATTCAGATTGGAAAATCAACTATGCATCAGTTTGATTTGTTAAATCTCCCTCCTCTATGTGGAGTAATTAATCGATCACGTATGAGTTATAATTCACTAGCTGGTAATGATCGATTTCTATTGACATGTATTGATTCCAATTTATGTTTGATCGATAACGCTTTGTCAGTAGTGAAACAGAATAAATGGGATTATGGTGATATTGAAGACATGTGTTGGTCGGAAGTATTAAAACATTTCTTTGTACTAGTTAAACAGAATGTACTGTTAGTTGATGAAAATACAATGTCAATTAAAAAAGTGCAACAAATCAAAGATGAAAACTGGAACTCTTGTGGATGTTCCGATAAATCTTTATATTTATCACGATGTGACTGGGATTCATCTATGCTCGAGTTCAGCTTACTACCATCAATTCAATTGCTGAACATTTGGAAAACTACTGATAACTTAGAACAAAAGCAACGATTAGATGCTATTACATACCATAACGGAACACTTGCTTTGGCAATCAATGATCAATCTAATGAGGCAAAACTTATTGAATTGAGATCATCAAAGACGTTCAAACTACTTTGGTCAATTCAGCTTGATGTCAATTATAATATCGCAGTACTTCGTTGTTGTCGATTTAATCATGACGATTTGCTTCTAGTTGATTGGCGAACGTCATATCTTTTTCATATAACTAATGATGGAAAAATCAAAGGAACAAATGAATACCAACCGGTACCTTATAATATAAACTTATTTAGTTCAAACATACTAGCCATATTAACTGACACTACTGTTAATTTTCACAAACTATAGCTTACATTTTGGTTTTTAGATTCCATGGAAAGATATTTTAAAGGAAATGAATATTCTTTTTGAATAGTATTATTTTGACTATGCACCATAATAATCTGTATGATCAATGCTTATCACTTTCTTTTTTTGATATCTGAATATTATGGAATACTAATTTGACATCTTCTTGTTAAAAAAATCAAATTTTAACATGTGAAACTAAAGATAGGATAAATATATAATTATAAAGTTAAGTAATGAGAAAAAAAATCAGCTTTCTTTGGAAGTAAAAACTATTGGAGTTAGAGGAATCTTGATTAAGCACTGATGAAATGAATTTTCTAGTCCATAATATCAGTCTCAATTTATTTATACATTCTTTCGTAATCGTGATTCGATTGAACTTAAATAATAAGAAAAATATTTTTGTCTTAATTAAGCTTGCGCTTCATGTTTCTTTTTGTTCTCTCAAATAATTACAAGCCGATTTTTTATTCTAGTACAACAAATACAATCATTTACGTATAGTGAATTATATCGAGTTTTGAAAATCAAATTTCAGCAATGATAATTTTAGTCTTCTCAAATGGCTAAGCACCTGTAGAATTTATTTAACAAATGAAATTTTCTATGATAACTTGACGAAAAAATTCGTCCGACTCATATTCACTGTTTGAGATCATATTTTGCTCATATGGAGAATTCACAGTATAGATAAAAGCAGTAGTGTTTCTCGGTCTAGGGCTGCTAAAAAAAGTTCTTTGTAAGAACTGAAAATGACTGTGACACGTATCAAATTTTTTCATAACTTTTCTCCCTCATCAAATTTGATCACTTTTGACCAAATTTAAAGTATTGCAAAGTGATTCGGTATTTTATCTGTCAATATTAAGAAATTATAGTCATAAATTATTCATTTGGATTGAGAAAACCTTTATCGAAGAACAGATCAAAATTAACGATTGTTCAGACAGACAAGCCTTCTTTTAACAGGTTTTTACGCTTCTTTTATCGATTCTAACTAACTCGGTGGAACGAAAATGAATGTAATCGTGTTGCACAGCATGTTAATCAGCACATGTTTTGCTTATTCTTTTTCATTGTCATACTTTTTACATAACGAGTATTACTAGCTACTGAAAGCTTTAAATAATCTTTTTTCGTGAATAACGTGAATGTCATCGTTGAATGATACAGTTACGAAAAATATTGAAACTTTTCAGGAAGTATTGAATGCTCAAACAAATGCAGATAAAGTGTGAGTGTCAAAGGAGGGATGAGGGTGGATCTGGTTGCCGTTGTGGATGTTCATATCGGTGTGTAAGTGAGGGCCATCTTTGGAGGAGTATTTTGTAGCTTTTTTTCGTCTCTGTAACATTACGACGACAAGACAAACATGACAAAGACAAATGCAGATGGCACAAGGTAGATAAAGTAGGCTATTAAGAGCGACGTGGCTGGATCACGTGCCAACTTTGTAGATTGAACTACATACGCGATCACGAGGCAATACATAGCCAGCAGATCAATGGCTACATAGAGTGCATTACGCAGTTTATTATCGAATTTTATTTGATTAGATACATCTTCAAATATGCAATATTTAAACAAAAAAAGCAAAAATGTTGTTTTAGCTGTTTCTACCATTTGTCGACCTGAGATGCGGCTTGTTTTTTCCATACTTTTTCATAAAGATCAAAATAGTCATCGTCGTATTGATAATCTTCGTCAATAGAGATTTTTGGTACTGAATTCTTTACTTCCTGATGACAATGAGGTCCACTTTTGTTAACGATCATTTCTTCATTAGAAATATTTAGAGCATGTTTTCGTTCTTGTTCTCTTCGCTTCTCATCCTGATGAAGCTTCTCTTCGGCTAGTCGCTGATTTTTAGCAGGATTCCATTGTGGAGAATGTCGAAATGGGCAGTCAAGTCGTCGACACCAATCTCCACGATAGCAAACTTTCATAATCATCTCCATTTGCTGTTGCTCGAGACGTACGAGATTCTCACGTTGTTCTTGCTCAAATTTGCGTAGATTCGCTTCAAAGTTCCAAGTATCGGGATGTTTGAATGTACAATTACGACGAGAACATTTTTCACCAAAACCACACTCGATTGTTGACTTCTTTTTTTTATTTGTCTTGTTACGATTCGACATTTGCAAAAGACAGTCAACAAGAAATCTTCTCTAGTAGAATTCTTACGTTTATTGTCTTGTGCTTTCGATCAATCGTGATAATATATAAAAATAGTCTGATTCTTTAGTTGGAAACTCGGGTAATCCACTTCACTTGAAGAAATGCGCCACACATTGCAACGATGTAAGTACAACAAACAATCGTGTTTCTTGGCTTTTACCGTTTGGTTTATTCTCTTTTCTCTGTCACATAGTCGGAAGAAACATAGAAGTCGTAAAATTGTTAAAGTCAGGCTACTTAAGGGGCCTCCCCCCCCCCCTTAGAAAATCCATTTTTTGGTAAAGTAATCGAAGTCGAGTTTTTATCATAGGAAGATGGAGCGAAGTTTCCTCTTTCAGAATATATATAAATTTTTAAAAAAAGGTCAAATTTTTACAGACTTTCGTATGAGATTTCCACCTCACTACCTGGTTTTCGGAGAGATTTTTGCGGTTTTTGTTATTTTTGGGAAGACTACTTTTGTACTTCTATCAGCATGGAATAAACATTCTTATATCATATAGTATGACCTGTAGTGCTAGCTTGCGTCATCTATTGCGCGCTTTCAAAAATTACACATATATATTATCCATATACCATTATTTCCTGCATTTGGATAAAAAAATCATTTCTAAAACTTCTTTAACGTTTTTCTCAGAACATAGTTTCCAATCAGGAAAATTGATATAACTTTCGTTCGGCTCGAGCTATATCCAATAATTTTTTTTTGTTTTAAAGGTCTCAATGAGAGTAAACTTTTGTCCGACCAGTTTTTTTAAAGTCGATTCCTGCGATGAGAAAAGTGGAATTTACTGTCGTTGGATCACCATTTTTTATGCTGATTTTTAGACCCTTTCACTAAAATGGTCATAAAAAATCAATAAGATTGAATTTAAAAATTCTGTTCGGACAAAAGTTGCGTACTGACATTAGCTTTAATTTGAGACCAGCCCCAGCTCGATATCTCGTTTTATGGGAAAGTTATATCAATTCTCCTGAAGGTCAAAAATGACCTATGATTCAGCTGAAACTCCGGTCTAGTAAGGCCAATCGGGCTGAAATTTTTACCAGGAGCATATCTCTCCAGGATCACTCATCCCTGAAATTTTCAGCTCAAAAGGCCCATCCTAAGTGGGAATTCATTTCTAAGGGGGGGGGGGGGGCCTTAAGAAATCAATCATGCAACTCGTGTATAAATTTCATATCCTCATTCTTCTTCTATGCATGTGAACGCGCACACAGATAGATTCTGTAGGCCTCTAGTACGAAGTTTATCTTCGAATTTCTCAGACAGTATCATCTTGTTTCTCACTTGAAGTATCATTATTAAATCATCAAAATCTAAACATGGACAGACAAGTCCAAGTCATGACTCGGACTCGACTATTTGACTCCAGTCATTCCGAATCATTTATTCAAAAAAGTTTTCATTTGTAGTTTTAAAAAGAAGAAATCTTGATTTGTAAGATTAAGTTCTCACTTATTTAGAAATTCAGTCCTAATTTTATACATTGCATCCGAATAATTTTTTCAAGAGCTTTTTTTTTTTGATCTATGGGTTCATGTGGTCATAAATGATAGACTATACGTATTGTTGAAATATGTGCATTTTTTTCTCGCATGTTTAGTTTCGATTCATCTCTGAAGGATGTATACGTGTATGTAATAAAATAAATGAAAACTTCGCATTGCATCACATGCCATATTCTTTATCACGCTACAATATAATTGTTGTGTGACAGTGTTTCGATAACCAAAATTTGCCATCATTCATTTCACATTATCTATTACCTAATAAGAGATGTGAGTGTGCGATCTTCACATCATCCTTAAAAAAAATCAATACCGATCTCTTAATAATCTTGCTAAAATAAATATATGTGTTGCTGACATGTTAACACCAGATGAACATAGGTTTATATAAAAGTGATCTTTTAATGAGATCGAATTCTTCACATTTTACAAAAAAACTAATATTTCTACTCTAATACATTTTAAGTGTAATAAGGCATTTAATTTAAATGGTAATAAATAATTTTTGCTTGTAAACAGGTTTAAGATTAGATTTTTGGTTACAAAAACATTATATATTTTTTTTTACTATGGTGTGATGTTGTGTAAAATAGACGAGTTGATTTCACTGTTCTTAGTTTTGTTGATTAGTCTAGATTAGTTGTGTGATTTTTTTTTCATGTATAATCTATTTTGATTTTTGCGCTTAAAAACTAGGAACTATATCTCGCCTATTGAAAAACTTGTTGTTGACGTTCTTTATAAACATAATTACAGAGCGAAGAAATGGAAAAAAATAGCTTGACTCGCCCATCTTTGAATCGACTCAATATGATATTAGAACATTTACAACAAAGAGATTGACAATGTTTTTGTGTTTATTAGTTTTACCGTAGGCAATTAGAAACAGAGACCGACATCAGGACAGGACTGCCCTGTCCTGTCCTACAGGACAAAGTTTTTTTTTCGTCCTGCCCTGGTCGTTCTGCAGGACGACTATACCAGAGCACAGGACACGACAGGGCAAGTTATTTTTCCCTGGTAAATCATTATTAATTCTCAAGTTATATTTTTTTAGGCAAAATTTTCAATCATTTGTACAGTTACTAGAGACGTCGCTGTAAGCTAATCACGTTTACATTTCATCTATTGTATAGGTTAGCGACAATTTTTACGATTCTTCTCTAGCTATCATTTGTCTCATTTGAATAGACCAGAAACAAAAAGCAGAACAAAGAAAGAATACAATAGCCAGATTATCTATCTTTATAGCAAAAACAAACTACCGTATATGTCTGCTTTTTTAATTTCATTTATTACGTTGAACATTTTCATTTGCTTTTGTGGGTTTCATTTATATATTCAACGTTTTTCATTGTATATCTGTTGATATGGACTAGTTGATACTCGATTTTCATTTGAACATAGACATTAGTATCTTGTAGCATTTTTTTGAAATGGTTTAAATAACCTATGTATAATGAAAAGAAAAACTGCCTATAAATCTTCTTCAAGTTATGAGTTTTGTTTCGGAACATAGAACGAATCTAAAACTCTTGAGGCCGCCCTGTCCTGCCCTGTCTTGCCTGGCCCTGCCCTGAGGACAAGACAGGACAACAAAAAATTTTATGCACCAGTACCAGGACAGGACAGGGCAAAATAAATCAGGGCAACAGGACAGGACAGGGCAAAAAAAAGTGCCCTGTGTCGGTCTCTGATTAGAAATCAAGTGACTAACATTCAGTTTTTATTGATAGACATGAATTCAATATTACTGATGTCTTCTGGAATATATTGTTCTTAATTTTACAATAAATATTAGTATTTATGTGAGCATCAAATATAAGAAATATACTATCTAAATAAATTTTGCAGTAGAATCTCACTCGAGTTGAAACTTTTTTCGATCCGAATATAGAATAAATTTAATGGGTTCGATTATAGTATTGATATTAATATTTAGGCGGAAATAATAGCGTAAAGAAGAATTTTGTGCTTGTAAATAAATTAAAATTTCCTTCTTCATAAAAATGAATAAAGTTTTTAAAAAAAAAAAAAGTCAAGTTAGTTGTGAGTATGTGTATCGAATATTACCATAGATCCTAACCTGACGAGCTCAACTTGCCAATTATTTTCCTTAGCTTAATTATTATTTATTATATTTAGAATGAATTAAAACGTCTTTGAGAAAGTGCAAGTGCTGTCACATGGAATAATCCTAATGATTTAAGTAATACTTGGACTGATATTCTTGAAGGTTAGATTTTAAATTTGAATATAATTTTTAATTATTCAAATATTCTTTATAGATGATCAACCTGAAATAAATGAATATCTTAAATATCAACGAACAATACGTGAATTAAAAGATGAAAATAGTCATTTACGAGATGAAATGGCAAATTTACGAAAATCATTGAAATTACAATCATCTGAAAAAAATCCAGTATAATATCATATGATTATTTTCTTTTTTTTTTTAGAAAACAAAAATAAAGATTTTGTCCTTTTTTTTTCTATTAAAATTTAGTATCGACGAGAAGATGATATAATTCATATTGAACAAATGTATGCAGCACAAATATCTAAATGTCGTCAAGAATATGATGAACAAATTCATAAACTACAATTATATATTAAAGAACTTGAAGATTGGAATGAAAATCAACAAGGTTTGATTTTAATTTAAAAGATTGTTTTTTTTTTTGGAATTTTTTGTTTTGTTATATAGAAGATGAATTACGAAAAACAATGGAAGTACAAAAAGAAGTTGTATGTGTTAATATTTAATTAGAAATAAAAAAAAACGTATTTGTTTTTATTTAGTTTAATAGGATGAAGTTGATAAAGATCTTCTTTCACAAGAACTTGAACAAGCAAATAATAAATTAAATTGTTATAGTGAAAAATTAAAAGAATATTTAAATTTACAAACAAATATGGATTCATTAATATTACAAAATAAACAATTAGAAAATAATTTACAATTAGAACGACAAAATAATAAATTAAATTTAGAACATATTAATCAATATGAAGAAAAAATTCATCAATTACAACAAGATATTATTCGATTACATTAGAATAAAAATCATCAAGAACAACAAAGTAAAAAATATTTATTATTTATTTTAATTTATTTATTTATTGAATATTTTAGCTGATAATAATAATGATGATGATGATTTAAATCGTCTTCTTAGTGAAGAACGACAACATTGTGATGCTCTTCCAGCTGATAATGATTCAATGTTTCATCTTCTTGAAGAAACTCGTTCACAAAATTTACAAATTGAAAATAATTTAAAAGAAAAATTTCAAAATGATATTCTAAATAAAGCCAAAAACAAATTGAACAATTTATTTTTCAAATAAATTCTCTTTAAGATCAATTTCAAAAACAAATTAATCTTCAAGTTGAAAATTTATCATAATCATATTCTTTGTATTTATCTTTTTTTTTTCTATCTTCAGAGAAATGAACAAGAAAGTTTCGATAAACAAATGAATAATCTTCAAGAAGAAATTCAAACAAAAGAAAAACAAATTGATATGGAAGTTAGTAAATCAACATTGATCTTTTATCAGACATATTCTTTTGTTTGTCTTTTTATTTTAGAGAAGTGAACATGAAAAACAGATTAATCAATTAAATGAAGAAAAAAAAATCATTTAATATCTTAAATAAACAATCTCCAACAATTTAAAGAAGAACAATTAGCAAAACAAGTCGAGGTGAGAAAAAAAGGTGATAATTTTTGAAATTATTTTGTTTTATTTATTTATTTATTTATTTATTAGGAAGAAGAAAACCGTTTAAAAGAAGTTCATGTACGAGAAATGCTTGAAAGACAATTAATTGAACTTAAGGAAGATTTATAAGCAACAGAAAATGAGAAAAATGAACTTAATAATCAAATTGATGAACTTAAAGAACAATTACAATCAAAAGATAAACAAATTCAAATAGCTGAAGTTAGTACATGATCATCTTTTATTCTCTCAAAAAAAAACTGAAATCTATAAGATTACACATGTTCTATCTTAAGAGCTGATCTTTTCGAAACTGTTCAATACTTTGAAAGAATAATTTTCATATCAAACCATGGATTCTTTGAAAAAGTTCATCTGAACTTTATTTTCCTTTCTAGAAGTGCATATTAACATCTTGAATTATAAAACTGTACACAGAAACATCATAAACTATATAAACATACAGATATACCGAGTTTAACTTAGGAATGTACAGTTTCAGTTTATTGATCATTGACTCACTCTGGGTATTGCACATGAATACAACTAGTAAGCTCAACAATGGAGTTTTATATTCTTTTTAAACGAAATAAATACGTCAGAGATAAGTTGATTGCATTTTTTTTTACTGAGAGATGTAGAATTAAAATTTTTCCAAAGTATAACATACACAAATCTCAGCGTCAATTTTTTTACATTATAAGATGTCCCAAAAGTCCATCCGAAAAGTTTACATGATTAGCTCTTAAATAGTTCAAGCGATTTATAGATATTTTTTTAAAATAAAGTTATAGTATATTCTTTGGAGTTTTATTTCATATAATTTGATTTAAAACAAATTTTCGAAACGTAAAAAATTCGACAGAAAATTTCTTTTCGAATTCATTTATTTCTGTTATCGGTTATTATTTTGAATCCAATCAAATCTTTATATATGTCTTATACAAATAGGTTTTCACTTTATATTTAACAATAAAGAATTTAAATGAAAAGAGACTTCATCCAAAAAAAACAAAACAAATAAAGTCTCCTTATTGTTGATATTTTCTAACATTGGTATCAAAGTGATACGATTTCAATTCGATCTTGTGAATGTTTTTCATAACGTTGTCAGACAAAATGTACCTTATATGGCTTCATTGAAAGATATTCCGTCATAATTCAGCCTGATATTGTTCGTGGAATAAAGCAGAATGTTGCAACAACCCAAACACTCCATAGTAACAAACCTCATGCAGTTCATCGATTTTCTTTTCTGTAATTTTTCAAAGTCTTTCAAAATTTTTTTCCATTTAATACTATACTGGTTTTGCAAAAGCGTCGAAAACCATATTTCGTATAGTCTATGTCTAACTTTTGTGAACCACTTCGTAAAATGATAGCTCACCTACATTTTAGAAACTCTAGGACTTCTATTATAATCAGACAATTTTAGTTGTTCGAACAAAGTTTCATAGATACTGTTAATATTTCTCCAGACATCAATATTCATGATTAAAAATAATCTCTAGAAATAATTTTCATATTTGATATAGTTCGTTCTTTGTCTTTAACGAGAATAAAAAAAAACAAAAGGATATTTAACACATCTATATATGTACATGTGATATTTTATCCTTCTCTTCTTTTTCTAACTATTAACCATCTGACTAGTCCGTTAGTTATTTTATCATTTGAACTAAGTCGTCGTCTAACTTAAGATCATTTTAGTATAACATCAACCTATCCACACACATACATTTACAATTATTCGATTTAACGATTGGTAACATTCGAAAAAAAAAATATGACTGATCAACGTACCACAACATCTTCAGATGAAGATAAAGCTAAACAAAAACAAAAACGAACACATATGTCATTGTTTACTCTTTGTAAACGAATAAAAGAAGCTAAATTAGATGTAAGATAAACATTTATAAAAATTTATTTATATATAAAAATAATTATTTAGGGTCAACAATTATTTTCTCGTTTACTTGAAGAAACAAAGAACCAAATGCGGACAGCTGAAAAAGCAATTTGTGTAGCTGGACACAAAGAAACATCAGATGAAAAAATGGAACAATTAGAATACGATTTAGCAAGAGCTATCTTTTATGTTGAAACTGTTCGTTTTAATATGGATCAAACATTACAAGAAAAAGAACCACAAACAACAAATAATGATCATGAATATGATGAAGAAAATGAGACGGTAAATAATAATTTGAAAATTATAAGAATATTCGAGATTTATATTTGACATAAATAAATTTTTCTCTTATATTTGTTAGATGAGTGATCCAGCTAAATTTGCTCAAATGTTGAATATGACGACAAATGAAAATATTGTATATTGATTTAAATTTGTTTGTTTTTGTTTTTTCTGATTTTTATAGTATAGAATATTCCATCAGATCAACGGTATGCTGTTCAATTAGAACAACTTATTTCAATGGGTTTCACTAATCGTGAAGAGAATTTAGAAGGTAATTGATTAAATTTTTTTTTTAAATTAATCTTTTTTTTTCTTTTTAGCACTAACAGCAACGATGGGAGATATTATTGCAGCTCTTCAACGACTTCCATCTGAAAAATAACTTTTTTTTTTTAATATATTGATTCTTTTTTTTTTAATGTATTGATTCTTCTGGTTTTTTTTCTTCAATGTATTGATTCTTCTGGTTTTTTTTTCTTCAATGTATTGATTCTTCTGGTTTTTTTTTCTCAATATATTGGTTCTTAATGTCATGTTAATACAATATTTTCTTTTTTTTTGTTCATCTTATTTTTATTTATTAAATTTTCATCAATTGACAAGAAACTTTCTATAAATGTTTTCTTCGCAAGAGAATTGTATTCATGGAAGTTAGCTTGAGACTAATAACTATGCTAGTCATAGAATTCACTGCGAACGAATTCCATCTATACTAACCAAATCTCCACATAAGCTACTGAATTAAATGAGTCTGATAAAAAAAATTAATTTTCTTTTTTTTTTTACATTTATTTAGTTATTGAGAAGGTAAAATGTTGACAGCGATAGGTCTTAGCCTTGTGAAAAAAGAACGCTATTGGATATCATACCAAGATGATAGGCTATATTGATGGTATTGTTCTAACAACACTTCTTACCAAGGATAGTCTTTCTTTTTTCACAGGATAATATCTGTTTCTTTCTTATTCTACGCATATGAAATAAGTGAAACAAACTCATTTACTAACGATGTATTGGACAAGAATCAAGTGAAACTAAGATTTGTTGATAGGACTACCAAAAAATACGACTTTTTTTAGGGACATAATACAAGACCCCCCTTTTTGACTTATGAATGATAAGACAGACTAGAAGACTCCAGGTCTTCTAATGTGTCGATGTCTTTTACTTGATCTTTTTTATATTCGTAATCTAGGTCTGGGCATCAAATCATGTTATAATCGTATCTTTTGAATAGACGAGCAAGTTCATGACAGAATTTGAGAAAAATATCTTACGTCCCCAAGAGAACCAATGCAACAATAGAATTCTGTAAAGACAGATCGAATTCCGTTCGAGTCTTATCAGAATCCTGTAAAATACGATAGAATCTTGCAGAAATATTGTCGGAAACCGAATGATGGAATTGCATTCTGATCTTTCATGTTAGGATCTGATTGAATTCCAATGTTGAAATCTAAAAGTAATTAGTTCAACGCATGGATGGAAAAATGAGATGAAAATTTCGAGTATAATCATCGAGCTCACCTAATGGAACATTTTCCATGTGACTTAATCTTCATTTATATTTTTACGATTGACTGTATGAATAAGGTGATACCCTAAAAAATTGAATTTTAGTTCTTATTAGATATCTATTATACTTGAAAAAAAAACTTCAGAACTCTTTCGAAATCCTAGTGTCATCATTTGTATCATATCCAAATATTACATTCCACGAGATCTATGTCAGAATCTCGGTATTGGATACTTGAATGAATTTGGTCATCCAAATTCTTATCAAATTTCTGATAGCTGATCAAATTTAACAGAATTCGAATGGATTCATTTACTTGGAAAGCATATATGTAGGAGTTTCATCTGCAAGCAAAGATTATTTAGTACAAACAAATATGAAAATATTACTCTTACAATAAATTAGTTTATTTGTTGTATGAGAATACATTATATTAGTTCTATTTGAAATTTAAAAGATGGTATTGTTAGTAAAAATGATATTATTCATGTTGATATTAATTTTAAAAGTGTAGCTAAATAGGTATATAAATAATAAAATAATAAATCCAGCTATTTTGTTGAAGCATAATATATATGAAAAAAAAAAGAATTCGTTTATTATATTATGATTTGATTTTAGCTGATTCAAGTATATTTTACTTCAAACAAACTACCTTATTTTATTGAAAAGATTTTTAACAAAATCAATATTTATAATTATAATAAAGGAAAATATTTATGAAAATTTTTCGGCCGTAAAAACGGATCTATATGAAGTTTTTTTATTTTAGCACAATTGAGACGTATTGGATTATTAGTAAAATTGTTTGTTATCATTGCAAGTGATTTGTAATTGATGCATAGATCCAATAAAGCAGGCAGATGAATATTTTTATCGCAGAGAAGTTGTTCAGCATAGTCCACATGTGCTTCAAACAGATTGAGAAGAATAAGACGAGGAAATATAATCAATATAGATGAATGTTGCTTATTTTTTTGTGTTTGTGGTTGATAATTAACAACACATAACTCTTTCAAAAGAGGAAAACATTGAGAGATAAGCTTGAATAAATTATGTTCAAAAGGACGTCCATCAATCATTGTTAAATATTGGACTGTATCAAATATATCACCTTGAAAAGAGTTATTAAGATGAAGAAAATACTCGAATTTGTATGGAAGTGAATAAACATGTGACGTGCCTGCGTTATGCTCTGATCTAGTATGGACACATGAACCAACTTCTCCATATCCTTTTCCAATAAAACTATGTTGAATGTATTCATTCGACTGGAGATCAATTTTCATGTTTCTGTTGACAATAGCTGTGATTATATTGAACGTAAATTTGTTTAATTGTGGCATATAAATAAGAATTTGATCATGTAATTGAATACCATCAATATAAGTCGAGTAAGGTTTTAGTACTGTCAAGAATAATGTTAATTCTTTAAGATTTATCATTCGACGAAGTAATGGAATAATTTGATCATCATAATCAGATGCATACTCTATTGAAGTCAATGAGAAGCATTTCAATTCGGGAAGTTTTTTCTATAATGAAAATATAATTAGGAATTTGTTTCTCTTCAAAATACAACTATTGATATTATATTTACCGTATTATTTATATTTGATAAACTCCATGATATGTTTTTCACATCAATAATCAATGTTGATAAACATTTGAGATGTCCAGCAAGAAGAAAAAGACAATCATCAAAAGTTGCGACATTAACTTTTAATTCAGTTAAGATCGAAGATATGCAACTTGTTGATGGTAAGTTATAAATACAAATTGAAGCTTTTCGATCAGAAAACAATTGGCAAAAATTCAAATTGGTCATTCGTTGACATACAGATAAAATCAATGAAAAAATATTTGATAGAGTTTCAGATGTTTCTGATTTTGGCTCATATGGAACATCAATATTAAGATGTGTAATTTGTTGAGTGAGAAGATCATGAAGAACTGAATTACCTTTAATTTAAAAAATAAAGACAATTATTAATTTATATGACAGTATTTCATCATTTTGTTAGTTAATATGAATAAAAGTCAGAATAGTGTACCTGTTAAATATTGAAAAAGTATTTCTTCTTGAACGTTGACAAGTGATAACAAGTAAAGTTGAGGATAATTAACAGTAAGTAGAATACGTTCCATTGAATTTTGTTCAATAGTAAGTTTATTCAATTGATGATGAATTCGAGGTAAGATTTTTTCACATATTTTCGGAAGAACATTATTGTCTATTGAAAATGTACGATCATAATATGATTTTATGACCATGCTGGTCGTATCAAGATTGCGAATATGAAGTGATTTAAGTACTAATCGATCAAATCGTTCATTAACATCCACAAGCGAATAGAGAGCATCGATTGTATTCAGTTTATTGAAAATGATGAGTAATATTTCATCAGGTAAATCGAGTATAGTAGGATTATTGATATTCGAATTATTCATTTTAACACTCACATACTGTTTATTCATTTCGTTTTATATATCTCTATACTTTGCTCATTTCCGTCTGTAAGAACAATGAAAAAAAAAAACATTCACGTCATAGTATTCAACTATGATGAATGACTAATGGCATTTTCTAATCTGTCTAACATTTTTTTTTTATATTATTCATGAGTGATCCGTTCGTCTGGTCATTTTCTTTTATTGCAACGTTTATCATGTAGCTTGTTTTTCATAATACATAATATTGTGTTTAGAATAAGATATAGTATATCAATCAGACATTGGAAGTCTACTTAAAAATTGTCTAATGTATCGTTTAATAAAAGAATACCATTGATTTTATTTGGTTAAATTAAAAAAAGAACATCGCATGAAAATATAAGAAGTATAGACCGTAGTTAGTTTGTTTGGATCTAGAAATGTATGAGATCGATGATAATCTCGGTTAAAAAGACCTGGAATGAAACCAAACTGGAAAGTGTACTTGGTATCGAAACTGAGACCAAAATTGTGCTTAAGTGTTCTATTGCATCTGAACAAATTGTTTTTTGTATATTATGTCAATCATAACATGAGTAAAAAAAAGACTAAATACAGTGAGACATTCGTTGACTCAATAAATTGAAAAATCACAATTTTAAAAGCTTTTTTGGAATTCATGTGCGCATATTTTGAAATAATTACGACGAGGACCAAAAAAACTTAGTCTCGCACATATAGTTATGGCGTAACCATGAGGAAGCTGGATGAACTGAGCTTCTCAGAAAATTTTTGGTTCTCATAAAAAATATAATTTCTCATTTTCGAAGCTCTTCTGAGCAGAGTGAGTGAGATGCATCAGTTCATCCTATTCAACATTCGATATTTTTCTTTGATCAAAGGCGAAAACGAGATTAATTTTTCAAACTAACGGAGAAATTGATGAACTTTTCTGATAAAAAAAAAATTATTTATTCATTTCTGACTGTGGGAAGTTTTCAATCTAATCATAGTAGTCTTAATACACTTTCATATTAATAACTACGTCACTTCGATTTTTATATGACTATCAAATCGATTTCGGATTTTTCAACCCGGAAATTCCTCACAAGCACAGAAGTGTATAAGATTCCGTCAAATTTTCAAACTGTCTGACGCAGGAAGGTCCTCAACTTAAGGACGCTGTTCGACTCCATATAATGACAACGAGGTAGGACCAAGAAAAGCCAAACAGGATTCGTGCCTGTGGCAAGGGATTCCCGAAAAGACCGAATTAAAGAATTTCGATCTGAAATTTTGTCCATAGATAGGTCTAATGGTCATTGTAATTGCCTGAAAGTTTCAGCCAAAACGAACGTTCCTTTCTCGAGATATTGAATTGTCAAAAAATAGTCACTTTTCACAGACAGATCACCAAAACCAAATTCAATATCTCGAGAAAGGAACGTTTGTTTGGGCTGAAACTTTCAGACAATTCTAATGACCATTAGACCTATCTATGGACAAAATTTCAGGTCGAAATTCTTTAATTCGGTCTTTTCGGAAATCCCTTACCACAGGCCCAAAATTCAGTAAAACGGTCATAACTCTTCGTCGATATGCCATAGGCACGAATCATTTCAGACTTTTCTTAGTCTCATAGAGACCTACCTCGTAATCATAATATGGAGCCGAACGGCGTCCGTAATTTGGAGTCCCTCCCTCGTGAGAACTTTGATACGAGCTATGATAATTATGTGAATGAACTAAATATTGACTTGTATATTTTTTTCAGTTCCTTGTTTTCATATAACCTGAATGATGCGTTCATTATACTACTTTTCTCATTCATACATTCACATCTGCCATCACTATTTTGTAAATTTTAATATAGATATGCTAAACTGCGCTTATTGCAATACTTTGGTTTGAGAAAGTATCGAGCTTGAGAAGAGTTGAGAAAAAACCTCTATATACTGTCGTCTGACAGACGACGGAAAGAAATATAAAGTAAACCCTTTACTACCAAATGAAGGCTATTCGTTTTTATGAAATAGGTAATTCCGATCTTATGAGTGTTTCAATAATAAATCTCATACTCGCATTTTTTTTTCGAGTTCGAAAACCTTTCTCTCAATTGATCATTGTTTCATTTCTAGACTATGTATAATCTCATAGCAGCAAAAGAATCTCAACAGAATGGTATTAAAACATGCCTATTTCCTATTTGTCAGTTTCTGAACAGTTGTCTATTATTAATGTTCATGTGTACACATTTTTCGGCTCACAAAAGAAATTTGTTTGTTCGTTAATAGAACACATGTTAAATAATCGAAATTAGATATATCACAGAAGCTACAACAAAACAGCTCAAAGTGATGAACTAATCAATTCGATGATATACATTGTTATTTTGCACTCGTTCGGATCTTCTTCATATCAGTGACAATTGAGTGTACCTAAGCACATATCCAAAGACAGAAAGTTAGAACTAAACTTTGACGATGTGTAGCATCAAATAAAATTGAGTATCTATAAGCTATTTCTAACCAACGTTTGATCTTCCTTTAGAAACATTCTGATAAATTGCTTAACAAAAATCGATTGATGCTTTTCATTGAACAAATCGAATTCCGTTCATCGGGAGAATTCGACGATCTCCTACATAATTTTAATCTCTATTATGTTAACACTTTAAAAATAAAAACGAAATAAAACCTCTACTACTAATTTCAAAGTTATAGTAATAAAAGATTTTTTTTGATATTATTTAAGGTTCATCTGTAAATGCAATGGAAATGTCTTGTTTACTTGATCAACAAGAATTAGAAGGTAAACGTCCACCAATGATGCCAAGTGGCCGAACTTTACCATCATTTCGTCCATATGAATATTCACCATGATCAGGTGGTTTTGTTGATAGAAGTTTTTTAAGTGGTATACGACCACAAGAATATTTTTTTCATTGTATGCCTGGACGAGAAGTATGAAAACAATTATTTGTTTTTTTTTTAAATTCATTTTTCTTTTTCTTTTATTAGGGTCTTATTGATACAGCTATAAAAACTGCACGTATTGATTATTTACAACGTTGTTTAATGAAACATTTAGAAGGTTTAGTTGTTAATTATGATTTAACAGTACGTTATAGTGATGGAAGTGTTATACAATTTCAATATGGTCAAGATGGTTTAGCTGTTGAAAAATGTACTTATTTAAAAGAAGAATATTATCCATTTTTTTATTGCTAATCAATCAACAATATTAGGTCAAGATGAATATTCATGTATTGTTGATATATGTGGTTCAACAAAAGAAAAACCAATTATAAAAACATTAAAAAAAATTCGTGCATGGAAAAAAAAACTCGAGATTTAGCTGATGATGAAAATAATTTAAATGATTCAATATATTTAAAAAAAAGTGATGAAACAAAAATTCATATGACACCATTTATAAATTATTCACGTTTTTTGATTTACATACATTAACTAATTCATTAAAAAGTAAAGATATTAATCAAGCACGTTCAATTATGGTTCACACATGGAGAAATTTATCTGATGATAAACGTCAACAATATAATTATGGTGTTGTCAAATTTTATTCACCTGTTACACAAAATTATTTACCAGCATCAAATTTAGGTGCTATTACTGAACGTTTAGATGATTTAATAAGAAATTATATTACAACACATGGAAAATTAGATCAAACTAATATGGATAAACGAACATTTGAAAAAATGATTCATTTTAAATCACTTAAATCATGTATTGATCCAGGTTAAAGTGTTGAAATTTTAGCTGCACAATCTATTGGAGAACCTAGTACACAAATGACATTGAATAGTAAGTTAGATTTCGAATATAAGTTTTATATATTTGAACAATTTTTTTTTTGAAACATGATCTAAAACGAATGTTGATGTATAGGAGTAAAAATTTTCGACTTCCACACAAATTGTGACAGAGGTTAAAAAATGAACACCGATCGTATATTAATAATGTCGAGTAATCATAGAGTGATTAGTAACAACAGTTTTTGTTATTTGTAATTAAATTCGATTTTTTTTGTCAACTAGAAAAAATGAAAATAATAAAGATGGTTTTATGCTTTGTCGAGATAAATACAGTTTGAAAACGAATTGAATTAGACTTAAAATTTCTACTTGATATAGGATGATTTATAGATTTAAATTTCGAATGAATTTATTATAAAAAAAGTTAGTGAGAATAGTACCAATATTAGATCGTCGAAAGTTGAATAAATAATACATTAACTCAGTCAGTCGATATGAAACTACAACATGTTTTATGTCAGTTACATCTCATTTTATAACTTCGATTTATATGTAAATCAAAGTAAATAAATCAAGAGTCTTAGAACAGATGTATTCGAGCGTGCTGAAGCTCATTGAAAACCTATGACGATCTATTAGAATCCAACAAATACATTATCAGTCAATGAATTCCACTATGATTTGAAATAAAAGAAGAAAATGTGCATCTTGACAAATCCTATTAAATTTCAGCAATCAAAGAATCTGTCGGAGCTCAATAGATTCCAGTTGAACTTGAGTAGATTAGATTTGATTTTTCATTTTTCATTTTTGTATGTAATCTTAGCTCCCATTTGTTTTTATGGTCTAATTTCATTCAATTCTGATAGATTATATGGTTCTTGAAATTCAATAGAATCTATTCTTCTTTCTATAAACCACTAGTTGAATTTTACTAAAAGATAGAAAAATGTGAAGATTCGATCTTCTATTTGAAAACGAATTAATATTCGAAAAATTTCATGTGCTTTGAACTAGACCGGAGATATCAAATTTCTTCACTATTTTTCTTTATTTTTAACAATCAATAACAATTCTATTTGACAAATTTTTCTCTTTTTAACCTTTTCATTTTGCTGGTCGTGGTGAAATGAATGTAACATTAGGTGTTCCACGTCTTCGTCAATTACTTATGGTTGCTTCTCAAAAGGTAAAAACACCAATAATGGAAGTACCTATTTTACATAGTTCATCAGCATTACGTAAAGCAAAACGTTTACAACGTCGTTGGTCTCGTCTTTTATTTTCTTAAGTATTAAAAACTTTTAATATTCATAAAAAACTTTCATTAAAATTAAATGATCATAAACATACATATAAAATTGAATTTTATTTTGATGAAAAATATGGAAAAAAACAATTAAATGAAATAATATGTTCATTTGAAACATATTTTATTTCACGTTTATGTCGTTCAATAAATAAAAAACGTAAAGAATTAACAACAAGTGCTCTTTTAAGATCAGCACAGATTCGTGATAAGATAACAATTAATGATTCAAATGATAAAGATGAATAACAAGAATTAGGTGAAAAAGATGATGATGATGATGACGATAATGAAGATGATGAACAAATTAATGGTGAAGCTAATACAGCCAAAGAAAAAGCAAATAGAAATGATGAAAAATAATATGATGATGATGATGATGATGACGATAATAATAATAACAATGAAGAAAATGAAACTGATGATGCAGAAACAATGCAAGATAATCAAGATGAAAATGATCAAACAAATACATCAAAAATCACTATTAAAGAAGATGTCATTGATGATGATGATGATGATGATGTACAAGGTAATCTTATTGAAAATAAATAAGAGAAATAAAACTTCAGAATTAGTTGTTTTTTGATAGATTCTTCAGTTTTATAGTCACGTATTTTTTTTTTATTAAAATAAAAAAAGTGTTGTAAATGATGAATGTTAACGACTTATCTTTCAATATGTGAAATTCTTATGTACTGTTAATGTGCATTCTTGATGAAACATGTTTATTATAATATATTACAATAGATGCAAAAGAATACATATCATAAATCATGACGCACACCTGAAGAATACGAGAAGAGATAATTTTCTCTCAGCAGAACTAACGAGGTGTGGGTGTGGGTGTGGGTGGGTGTGGGTGTGGGTGTGGGTGTCGTTGTAGACTCACAGGATACTCACACCCACACCCACACCCACACCCACACCCACACCCACACCCACACCTACACCCACACCCACACCCACACCCACACCC